TTACTTTCTCAACCAAAGCACCTATGCCCTCTTATCCTACGTTTTCTTGTTCTCTAGAGTTTACCGAACGTAGGTTGTGAGGTAATTTATCTAGGTGGAGACCTTGTCCCTGAAATTACACCTAGTCTTACCTTGTTTTGCCTGGTTCGACAAAATAATTTTGCCATGATTATTAGCTGAATTACTTATTCTACATTGCCTTTGTTGCAAACCATCCTTTTCCTCCTTATCTTGAATGCTTAAGTCAAGGGTGGAGGAAGTTCTCCCTAAAATTACGAACTATTCCACCTCGTTTCAGTTGGTTTAGCAGGATAACTTTAGATGTGGGAGCAAAACCAGGCGGAATAGTTTGTAATTTTACGGAGAAGTCTGCACCCTTGACTTAAAGTTGGTAAAATTGGATTACAAATACAGCCAAGAATTACTTTAAAAACTATTCTGTTAAAGGAAAGCACATGTTTCACATGGTTTAGTCCCACTCCAGTGCCCCTGCTCTTGTTTGTGTTTTATTTGTATTCTGTATATAGACTGCAACATCCTTCATGTTTAATAGTTGCTTTGCTCCTTTTGTAACTTCATGCAGTCTGGAAAAGTTGAAACCTGAGAAGGAGCTGCAACGAGCCTCATCTGACATTTTTCGTCATAAAGTAAAAATAAGGGAATTATTTAAACACATTGATTCACTATGTGCTGAAGGAAGCTTCCCTGCATCTATATTCGATTCTGATGGACAGATTAGTAGTGAGGATGTGAGTAATTTCCTACTTAAGCTATGAGCTTTCTTGTTATAGAACCTCATTCTTCTTTGTCATTATCATTCGCTTATTTATTTATTTATTTATTTATTTATTTATTTATTGTGATCTTAGCTTCATTTTTCTGACAGATATATTGTGCAAAATGTCAATCCAAAGAACTTACAGCAGAAAATGATATTATACTTTGTGATGGTGCTTGTGACCGAGGATTCCATCAGTTCTGTCTGATACCTCCTTTGTTGAAAGAAGACAGTAATATCTTATTGCTTGCTTGGTAGCAATATGTTGGAATCTATGTTTTCTGAGTATTTGTCTCATCATGTTCTTCTGATTTCTTTCTTGCTTTGCTTGTAGTTCCTCCTGATGATGAGGGCTGGTTGTGCCCTGCATGTGATTGCAAAGTTGATTCCATCGCCATGGTTAATGACTACCTAGGAACGAATCTATCTATCACTGATGGCTGGGAGGTACATCATGCAATCTCTAATTATTTTTGAAATTGTTATCTAATAAATTTTGACCAATTACTTAGTCAGAAATTTGCATTGTGTACTGTTACTATTTGCAGAAGGTATTCCCTGAAGCTGCTGCCACATTATCCTCACCACTTCCAGGTTCCAATTTGGGAGTTCCTTCAGATGACTCGGAAGATGATGATTATGACCCTGATGGTCCAGAAGTTGACGAGAAAAGCGAGGGAGGCGGATTGGGTACTGATGAATCTGACTTCAGTTCTGCATCTGAGGAGCTTGGGACTTCCCGTGACGAGAAGTATTTGGGTCTTCCATCTGATGACTCAGAAGATGATGATTATAATCCTGATGGTCGAGGGCCTGATGAGCCAGCGAGGGAAGAAAGTTCAGGTTCTGATTTTTCATCCGATTCTGAGGATCTAGATGCTGTTCTTGAGGATAATGAGTTGCCTGAAGAAAATGGGAACCTTAAAGTCGTTCAGCGTGGTGGAATCAAGAGGCGGTCACTAAACAGTGAACCAGTATCAACATCAGAGCCAGATGACATCGTAGATGATTCCTTACTGCTAGTGGGGAAAAGAAATGTCGAAAGACTGGACTATAGGAAACTATATGATGTGAGTATCTTTGCCACACTGGTTTGGTAAAGTCAGATCCCTGATGTGTGGTTATATTGTTTCATGATTCAGGTTCACATATATTATTCTTGCTTTCTAGTTTTTGCAATTCATTTGAGTGCTCGTATGATTGTTTAGAAGTATTATGAGTTGCGACATACATCCACTGTTGCCTTTGGACATTATGGCATAGTCTGTTTTCCTTAGTTTAGTGAATAAACATAACTTATTTTTCAGTAACTTGCCAAAGTTGAGGCACGTATCTGTTTCATTTAGAGAGAGATTCAGGTGGTAACTATTCTATCATTCTGGTGCTATTTTACGTATTTGCAGATCCCTCTGTTTCATGCTGTCTATATGGGTTCTACTTTCCATCACACTGGTGGATGCCACAGCTTCTGTTTGCATCTGTTTAAATTGTGCAATGACTGTTGAAATTTATTGACTTCATTTGGTTCCAGTTCTGTTACTGTCTGTCTAACTGTCCATTGATATTATTTTTATACTGTGAAGGAAACATATGGGAATGGTTCGTCTGATTCAAGTGATGATGAGGACTATACTGCCGGGAAAAAGCTTAGGAAAAAGGCCACAGTGGCTGCTCCATTCTCGAAAAATCGTGTTGTGAATTCTGAGGGAACAGAGCAAGTCTCCGGGGACAACGAAATCACCCCTAGGAGAAGATTCCGTGGTAAGTCCAATGTTAAGGCTGAATCTTCTCAGTCAACTCATCGTATAAGAAGAGGACCCTATAAGAAACTTGGGGAAGCAGTGATACAGGTATGTTTAATGCAAACTTCATCTCACTTCATGACACTTTGATTTTGTCTGCTGTTTGGTTACGTTTTAATGTAGGGATCTTTAGTGATTGAATGTACACATAAATGATGAGATTCTGAAAGCAGTCCTTTTTCCAGAGGCTTCATGAATCTTTTCAGGAGAATCAGTATCCTGACCATTCCACAAAGGAGAAGTTGGCAAAAGAGCTTGAACTTACTATGGATCAGGTATTCATTGAACACTTTTCTGTAAATAGTGCTTGCACTTAAGTTTAGATTATTGTGCTTCCTGATTTTGTTGCAACCTGTAGACCTGACCCCCTTCCCTTCTCTGGATGCAGGTTACCAAATGGTTTGGGAATGCTCGTTGGAGCTATAACCATTCATCAACGCCCGGAGGGAGTTCAAGTAAAAAAGGCACTTCGAGAAAGAATGTCAGCAAGGTCCCTGGAACTGCCATCAAACAGCATCAGGGTGAGCATCATGATGTCAATGCAGATGCCGTTTGTAATGGGGGATCGCAAAACCGGAAACCTTTGGAGAATGACGCAGATGGTGTTGCTGAAAGTTGCATCAAAGGTGCAGGGGACAGAAAATTGGATGCACATGAAGGTACCAAGTCGCGGCCCAGAGGGAGAAAACGTAAATCCGATAAACAGTCTGTGGAGGCAGAAGTCAAAAGTGAGGGAGCAAGTATGGGGGGCTCGAGTTCGCAGATGACTCTCCGGGCGAGTGGCAGATTGAAAAGAAGAAGGAATTCTGTTGGGTGAGGTGATTGAATGATTTAATCAAGGTGTGGCTTCTTTCTAGAGGAGTATATGGCAACCAGTGCTCGATTGGTGCTTCTGCGACAAGGCAACCGGTGCTCTTTTGATTTTTTGGTCCCCGAGTTCGAGTACTGGTATCTCTTCTTCGTCGTCTTTATATGCAAAAGAACATGAGTACTGATATGCTTTTACTTCTGATGCTCCTATCGTGCAAGTTGTGATGCGGGCAAACTACCATTGTTGTTCCCCTATCTCGGCAGTCCCTTGTGCTGCTCCTTGGTCGTTGTTGTATGGTGCCGAAGCTTGGCTGCGATTTCCTGAGGTCACTTTAATTCACCTTCATGTATCAACTGTTCATTTTTTGGTTTGCATCATAAGATGTATGAATCTGACTTCTGTATTTTCGGTTTCTGGAGACTTAACTCTCCAAGTCGATTGTTTACTGTTGGATCTATTGACTATTGGGATTAGCACAAAGCTCCGTGAGTCCACATTTGGTGACAAAAATCGTTATGCGTGATTTACAATACATTTTGGCACTCTATGAATTGCTTAATTTGCTTTACACAAGCGCGACTTATTATAGTATTGAATCGCGGACTATACGAGTGATGAGATTTGTTTGTTCGATGCAACGACGATTAACGTGGATCGTGTGCTTCCTTAATGATTTGCACATTAAAGTCACTTGTTTGAGAAGTGATCCAACCCAAACTTTAGTAGTTTGGAGAAATTTTAGTGTTTGGAGAAATTTTAGTGTAAGTTATGTATTGAAAAAAATCTATCTCGGTAACTACTGCATTTTAGAAAAAACATTCACATTTTTTCCAAGCCAACTCCTCGAGTCTATTTTGGTTACAGATGCAAATGATTAGAGTTGTTTATGAGTGGCTCGGCGTTCGACTCGTTTACTAACGAGCCAAACTTGAGCTAAATTTGTCCAGCTCGCTAGGTTCGCAAGCCAGCTATACTAGGTGGCTTGTTGAGCTCAACTTATGAGCTGATTCCTTGAGCTCATGAGATGTATAAACATTGTGGCTAGTGAGCCAACTCGATTACCGACTTATGAGCGAATCGATATATATATATCTTATAAGCCGCCATTGCCTTGTTGTAATTAGAATGCCAATTGAACTTAGGGCTGTCGGGTTTTTTTTTTTTGTTTCAACTGAAACCGATAAAAAATGTAACAATTTTGTTTTTTGATTTTAAAGTCGTTTAGTATCTTAATGTTTTTTATTTCGGTTAAAACGAAAAAAACAAATATGAAACCAATAAGAAATTAATCACACACTAAATTAATTCCCATCAACAACACACGTCATCACCAACTTATATGTAGTAGATTTTTTTTCCGATCTTCATGCGTCTTATTATATTTTCTTATTTCATTTTTGAACTTTCCAAATTATGGGTTTGATTTTTTGTTTTGGTTTATTCAAACCAACCAAAACCATTTAAAATATTATCAATTTTTCGTATAACCAATAACCAACAAAGGCACAAAGTCTAACAAATTTGGTTTTGGTTTTTTGGAACCTACGTGATTTGACTTTGGTTCATTTTGACAAACCCAACCCAACCCAACCCAACTCAACTCAACTCACAGCACTATTTCAATTCAACTAGTCCTCTCGGTCGGGTTCATCAAGCATGACCCGGCCGAAGCAGGTAGCTGAAAATATAATTGATGCGGTGGGCATTACCAGCATAAGCCGAAAATCGAAATAGCACGCTGGAAGGCAAGACCAGAGAGGGAAGTTAAAAGAGAAGGCCGGCGGAAGCACGGAGCTACACAATCAGCAGCAGCGATGACGGAGGAGGTAGACGCGAATGGCCTGAAAGCCGCCGGGGCTGAGCTTTTGACCGACGGACGCCACGGACTCCGTATTCATGGCTGGGAGATCGTTTCCAAGAGAGGCTCTATTCTCAGCTCTTCCTCTCATGAACAGTACTCGCACTCACTCTCTCGTTTCTTATTCTATCATGCTATATTGAAAATTTTAGTTTGTCTGATTGGTAATTGTTGAAGTGTGTAGATGCTATTGAGTGATCCGAATGTCACTGTTTTGTGTGTCTGTGGGGAGGTTCTGATGATTTTTTAGAAGATAACGAGTGGTCTCAGGATGATATTGTCCCTCTTTCTTAAACAATGTGGCCCCTTGTGGAACTTTTCTGGGTGGCTAAGTTTTGCTGCTCTTGAAAGATTAGGTTTAGTTTCTTAGGATCAGCTTTGAGTTCATGACGGTTGGTTTATAGGAAACTCAATTGCGAAGTATGTCATTTCTCTGGTTATTTGAACGTCAGTTTTGCTTTCCATCTGCTCAACATCTTTGTTTGGCTAGTTCTTGTACTGCCCTCTTACCGTCCGTTGCTGAGGGACGGCATACAATTGCACATCATTTCAAAAAAATTGCCTAGACAAGTTCTTGTAGATTCTGCTGGATATTCCGTATATATTGTATCTCGTCACTGAGTATTGTTTTTTTTTTTTTTTGTATTTGTCATGTTTTCTGGGTAGTTGAAGTTTGCTCGTGAGTTATATGTTATTTTCAGTGCAAGGAAATAAGATATTTGTCTGGCAAGTATAAATAATTTATCTTTCTTTAATGTCGGAACTCTTTGTTGCCACAAAGTCTATGGGCTTCTTCTCCAATTGACGACAGAAGTTCTATACCCTTTTCCTTCCATATACTTATCTAATCTACATGCTCTATCTATTTGCAGGTGGGAAGAGAAGCTGCAGACCTCTCACTTACCAGAGATGGTTTTTGGGGACAGCTGTTTGGTTCTCAAACATTTGAAGAGTGGCACCAAACTTCATTTCAATGCATTTGATGCCCTTATGGGTTGGAAGCAGGAAGCTTTACCCCCAGTTGAAGTTCCTGCTGCTGCACAGTGGAAATTCAGAAGGTGGCACTTCCCATTTCCCTTGATGTTTGTGTATCAGAGTATAGAACTGTTCATGCTCATGTTTATCCCTAAATCAGTAGTCTACTGCATGCTAGCAGTTTCAGGTTTATGTGCATGGAATGAATCAACAGGCCGAAATGACTGAACTAGTTATCATGTCCATGAATTGTTACAGGTGCATTACTATTGGTTGATATGCTCACATTGACGTTGGTCTTTTATTTGTTTTATCTTCTTTTGTAAGAAGACGTGGTACTGTGAATTAGCTACGTGCAGGGTTAAACATATACTGGCTATAAGGAACAAATTGATGGCATTGGTCTCGTGTAATCCATTAAATGTGCCCTTCTGTATCTGCAACTTTGCTATTGAATTGATTTAGCTTAGATATATAGGCAAACTAAAGGAGACTGTTTTTGGGCTGTCATAACGCCAATTGTGAACTTGCAGCAAGCCGTTCCAGCAGGTGATCCTAGATTATGATTATACTTTCACGACACCATATGTTGGAAGTGAAATGATGGAGGTCAGTATACAAGTTTTGGTTTCTCTATTCACTTTTTCCACATGAATGTGGTTGAAATGTCAATGTATTCTGTATGGTGAACAATAGTTCCCTGGGATCAGGATTATTCTTACCCATTACTCTTCCTGAACCCTTTCCTGCAGTGATTTATTTGTAATAAGCTGAATATAGTGATCTTCTCGTCTTGTATGCTTATCTGTGTATTTTGCTGGCCTTGCTGTATTCTGTTTTCTTCCTCGTATCTTGGTGCTTTTTTATATTTAATGATTTTAACCTGACAGAGGGTGTTTAGGGATTATTCTCTCTAGCTGTAGGACTCTTAAGTCTTAAGCCATTTGTTAGAAGGAAAAAAATAACAAGGAGATAGCCATTCTAACCCTTGTGCCCAACAGTACTGAAAATGCCTTCACTTCAGAGGTTTAGAAGCTGGGAGCTCAGAAATAACATTGCGTGTCTGTTGTGATGGTGATGCCTCTTCAGAGCTAACCAAATAGGAACACAACACTATTGTTTTTTTCAAACATTACATGATGAACTCAGTTTGTTAAACTTGGACTGAACTTCTATGATCTGTGTTGAATGGCTGTTTTTGCATATCTTGTGTAAACGTGAAAATAATGCTGTTATTCTGGTTTCCATGACCAGAATGAAAATGGGAAAGTCATTGATGTAAGTGACAAGCTTCACTGGGAGGATTGCAAGGAGCACATTGATGTTGGTGCACTAGCTTCTAAAGAGCCTATTCTTTTCTATGATGAGGTGACCAACTGATTCTGTTACATGAGTTTTCAATATTGCTCTCTAGGTTTGGTTGAAACTAATGTGAAGGAGTCTTACTCTGCAGGTTGTTTTGTATGAAGATGAACTGGCTGATAATGGAGTTTCACTTCTGACTGTAAAAGTGGTAAATAGTACTCTCTGCTTGTGTATCAGTTGTGGATATGGAATGTTGGGTGTATTAGAATGCCTTAGACCTAACCATATCATTGGCCATTTTGCAGAGGGTGATGCCAAGTTATTGGTTTCTTCTTTTGCGATATTGGGTTAGTATGTTTGTTTCTCATTTTATATGGAGCCATCACTTATAGAAGAACTATTTGCTTAAAAAAATTTCAAGCACGTATGTAGGACCAGTTGTCATGCCTGAATTACCAAGCTTTTGTTTGCACTTCTGGATTGCCTAAGAAACATCAAACATGGAACATTTTTAAAAAACAGCTATTTGGTGACTGCATGTTGTCCTTATGTATTGTTTGATTTGAAAGGATTGTAAAAGTAACGTAAAGGATCAGCAAAAGAAAAAAGTGACGCAAGTGTATAAGATGTAAAAATCTAATACCATTCAATTTCTTCTAACCATCACAACGTCTTGAAACACAATTCATGTTTACCCTCCAATCACTATTTACATAATTGTGATAATTTTTAGCCAACACTCCTTTGGTAACTGGATTTGTATAATCTAATCCTTTAGTTTCTAAAATTATATTAAAAGTTGCATAAACAAAATTAAATTAGAAAAATTGCTCAAACAAGACACTTCATCTGAATTTGTAGTAACAACTTTTGTGATGAATGTTAACCTTACCAAACACTATTTTCTCTCTTCTCGTAAAATGTAAATCTGGGCTTGTTTCATACTAAACCGAAATACACGAAACAAAATATATTGTTAGATTCTGTATTTCCAAAATAAGGGAAAGAACACATAATTACTGAAAAACTTCTGATCACTTAATTCCATGTTTTGTAGACAAAAGAAAAATGGCACTCCTATTTCTCAGTCACGTGTTTAGGACCCTGCCAATCTGAATGATCACCACTTCATTCCCTTGAGATTTAAGTTAAGGGACTTTGGAACTTTTTGCTTCAAACTTTGTTGGAGCTCATAACCAAAACTGAAGAATTGAGTTATTACTCGAACATCAGATACCTGAAAATGGCCCTAATGAATAAGTATAATTTATCCACTGACATTACCGGGTTTTCTTATCTTAATGCTGTTATCTTTTCATATTTTTATCGTTTTTCTTCTTGCACTAACTTCATTTTCCATGCCATCTGATTCAAATTTGATGTACAGCTGAGAGTTGATGGAGTCCTGATGAGATTACGGGATACACGCATCTATTGTGCTTTCAGTGACAGTGCAAACCCTGTTATCCTTCGTGAAAGCTGCTGGAGACAAGTGACCTTTCAGGCTCTGTCTGCGGTAGGTTTCACATTCTCCCTATGCATTGCCATATTCTGATCTCTGCTTTATGTGCAACAAGCGTACGATCACTTGCATGATGGTTGCTATCTCATCTTTCCTATCCTTGTGAAGCTGTTTATGCTCTTTAAGAGCCAAACTGATCTTAGGCCACTTTCTTTTGCATCACCTTGATGAATACTTTAGTCCTTCAAATAGGTAGAGCCGAGTAAATTGTTGAAAAAGTTTTTATTATCGAAAGGATAAAGAAGCAGATTTAATTTAGTGAGAAAAATGAAGCCGTAGGAAAGATCATATTTTCAGGTAGACAATAGGAAGAGCCCGAAGAAGAGAGATGTCTTTATTATTTCGCGGAATTTCTTATAGTTTGTCATCAGCATCATGATTCTGTAATGTTATTAAGCTTCTCCTACAGGAGCTACGGCTTCCAAAGATTATCTCTTTAGTTCAATATAGCCCCTGATGAAATCAATCAGAACATTTCTTTCTGAATTTTGTATATCAGGTATATATAATTGAAGGAATAACGTTATCAGTGACCCTCAAGTAGCGTGGATAGTTGCTTTAAAGGGAAAAAGGGACAATTGTTGTGAATAACATTCAGTGTTCACTCTCGACTTGGAAAGATAGAGAACATTTTCTCTCATCCTTGAAAGTGGTTTAGCATCCTAATATTGCTTGTTCCTCATCTGATATTTCTGTATTTTGCTGCAGAAAGGGTACCCTATTGATGATTCTGCTTACAGTGATCCTAACATCATCAGCCAGAGGCTTCCTGTCATCATGCATAGGACTCAGAAGCTTAAGGGTCCATGGTAAATTGTGTGACTTATTATAGAAGAAGACGACGTTCTTCCAATGTTGTTGTGATAGAGGGCAAGACCCTGTAGGTGTATTATGTTGGCACACGCATGTTTTGCTCAGTGAATTTTTCAATATAACTTTATGCTTGCATATTCGGGAGGTAAAGCAACAGAGGCCAAGTGCTGGGATGATATCCATTTCTAATGTTCTATTGTCAGTAGAGTATGATGGTTTCGATGAATTACAACTTGCTATATGGAAAGCAAAAAAAGAAAAAAGGAAGAGGATGATGTTTTTCCAAAGAGTGGAATTTTTCTTTGATAATCGTATTGGTGATATTGAAAGAAGGCTCATGTGAGAGGAGGACGTTTTTCTTAAGAGTGGAATTTTTGTAGGATAATCGTGTGTTGGTGATATTGAAATAAGGCATAGTACCATGTATCGTGTAGGAAGTAAAGAATAGGATGCACTTTGCAGTTGTAGGATGCATTAACTGCTGCAGAGTATGAAAAGTGAAGAGTTGACGGGGAAGGAACTATGTAGAACAAGATGTTTGTAGGATGCTGCATAATTTACAGACACTGTCTAGGCCCTGAGCTCTGCCAGTCAAATGGATTGAGAGACATCGGATTGTTGCCTCTTAATCGTTCCATGGAAGAACAGTGACTCGAGAACCGCAATGAAGTCTGTATGATAAAGAACATACATGGATGGATGAATAAGTGGCTTTTTTAACTTTGATTCTAGATCTGGTAGGTGCCACTGATTTCTATGACTTGATTTTGATTACAATTCCCTTGACACCATCATGACAGAAGTAATCTATCATCATCTTCTGGGAAACCAACAGACACTTAGCAAAGTAAATAAGCATCGACACAATTTTCAATGAAATTTCCTTAAAAGTTATGAGATTTTGATGTTCTGTAGAGAGATGGTACATGGTTGGCTTTTCCCCACTTTTTGATTCTAGTTAAAGCAGGAAGAACCTGTATTGCAGGATTATGAGGTCTCAGGTTTTGTTTCTCATTCTTCATCAGGTTTCTATTGGTAGATGGGGAAAGTCTATTAACTGTTCCTTATAGAACTGACATGAGAGGATAATTGTGGATATGGCAGAAGGGGTGATCAGAGTTTGAGGTTTAAGTCAAGGTCGAGGGTCGTCTCTGGTAGTTTTGGATCCAAGCGAAAGCTGCCTGGCCACGTCAACTCCACCGTACCTTCAAGGGAGAAGGGCTTGCAAGTCGATCCAAACCCTTTATCGAGCTCAGCAAATCTCGGGGTGGTAGAGATCATATCTCTAGTTGGCTTGTGAACCAGGGCATGTGGTTGGACTCCGAGGGATCTGCCGACTGGAAGACTAGTATGCATAGTAGGTAAACCCATCATAACCATCATCCTTTGTGACTGATATCTTCTCACTGTGCCTCTTTCCCGCTTGTGTGCATTCTGGTGACCTCCAAGTGCCTGTGAACTGAAGAACTTCCTTCTGCAGAAGTTGCATGAGAAAACCTTTCCGTGTGGTTTAACTCTTCCTTGTGATGAATCGCACCCTGTAGTTGCTGAGTTACAGCTTCCCCCACCTAGGCTGAGGTTCAACCACTCGTTGTTGCTGCTATTGCTTATTATGAATTCATCTTGATATTGGCTTGCTTCTGGCATTTCGTTTCCTTCTTCCTGAAACACCATAGCTGGGAGCAGAGGTTAGATTTGATGAGTTAGAGAGAGGCTGTTGGAATGGTGGCAAAAGTAGGAGGGAGAGGAAATCATTTGAGGGCTAAGTACCAGTTTGGAAAGGAACCTGCTGCATGAGTCCGTTTTTTAAATCATAGCTTGGGTTTCAGTTCAGCACCGTAACTCCCCCCACTTGGTGTTCCAGGGGGACAATGCTTACGTCAGCTTTACTGTTTAGTCTTTTGTCGAGCTTAGGATTCTCTCTCTTTTAATCTTGAGTATCTTCCTTTTTTTCTTCTTTTTTTGTTTTCTCTGCTCAAATTATACCTACTTTCCATTGTCGTCCTTTGATAATACTTTTTAACTTCAAAGGTTAGCAGCCCAACAGCAGGTCCATCAGTTGTCAACCTCATAATCTCTACTGATACTGTCTGCCATCGATTTGCTTCTTTATCCTTAACAAGCATTTACCTGTGTAACCTATCCCTTCTGTCTATTTTGAGATGCTTGTTTGTTTGTGTTCACTGGTTGGAGTTAAATTCGCTGATTAGTTAACACTACAATAACATGTAGGTCGTTTTACCCCACTTCACTGTGATGTACTGCAGTGAAGGAAGTGAATTTACTTCCATTACCAGTCTTTTGTTGGCCTCGGGGGCTAGTAGGACTAGGAAGAGAACACTTATTAGTTAAGTTCATTTGATTGCGGTTGCAAAGGGTTAGTAGATGAGTGACTAGTGGAAGAATTCCCCTGCAAAAGACAGATATAGCATATGCACATAATGAGATATTGAACTAATTTGCAGACGTGCAGCTAGCAAGAAGAGTTGTATGTATTTTCGTATTTGGTCAAGGGAGTGCTTTTTTTGTGTATAGCTTGGGAATAAAACATCACACATGATGATATTTGTTGGAAGTGGAATCCACAGCCATTGGATAGTTTGTTTGGTAGAGGTTTGATGAATGATGGGACCAAAGCCATGCTAATAATAGCACTTAAAAGAAGCATGAACTGGAATAGCCTTGGTGACTTGCCATTTTTAAGTCTGTAATGTTTGGTTGTGAAACAAGAGTATCTATGTGGGGTCTCTTTCCATCTTGTGGGTGCCTTGCCTTCATATCATTCATAGCTTTGGCCCTTCTTTTTGTGAAGAGCAAAATATGCTTTCTATCACTGATCACTACAGATTGATGTGGCATTATGCTCCACTCGCAAAGTTGTACCTGAAAAAGTTACATTCAATCAGTCATCTCCACACACAAAAAAGAAGAGCACTTCAGTTGGGTTTCACATAATAGAGCATTTGTCATCTTCTCTTTCACACATGCATCTCCCCCCTTCTATACACACACAGACACGTGCTGTTGAACTCATGTCTGAATAGCTTTCTTGGAGATATTATTTCTTTCTTGCCTGTCTCTCTCTGCCAAACTCTGTTAGCTTCTGAATGAATCATCCAATGCTAGATTATGATTAAGGTTTTCAGCAGTCACAGTCACAGACACACTCCACTACTTTGTGCTACTCTTCTGTGGGTGGTGGAATCAATCTCCCTGTCCTTGCTGTTGTTTCATTTAATTGCTTTTACATGTCTATGGTTATGGCAGAATATCCCCTCTACTGATATGGTTAGGTTTGGATGGAAGTTACTTTGCTTCCGGAGACATTGGGAAATGTCATCTCCAGCCACGTAGTAAGTTTTTTTGTTAGTGGGGGGAAAGAAATGAAAGATGAAACACGAGAAAAGGTAGGTAGATGAGTTCCTTTGCCAAGTTGATTGATCATATATCCTTTATTAGTATCATCCTACCGTTCTTTATATCTGTTCCATTGTCATCAACACCTTTATCTTCATTGCTGCTGCTTAGGTCACTTGTTATCTTCAGGAATCATTTATTATCATTGTTTGTCTTTATGATAGAGTCCCTCTGGTTGACGGGACTAAATGGCTAGAGGATTCTGTTAAGGCACAACGACGTTCCCTCTCTATCTTTGCTGGAGTTGGGGTTGTAGCTTTATGATTGACGAGGCGAGAAAGAGAGAATTAAATGATAAGTTTGCTTGCTTGCTTTATATCTGTCTGGAGATAGAATAAGAATCCTTGGATGGATGAGATCTTGAGTTCTAAGGGAGATGCCTGAACAGGGACAGGAGAGTGAGTGGACGAGATAATGCTGATAACACAAACTGGTCTGAAATGGAAGTTGATCTGTCCTTCACTTTCCTTCAGCAGTAAGTTCATATCTGTTATGATTCTTGAGATTGAAGGTGGGTGTATCTCTCAAGCTTGATAGATGCAGGGTGATGAGAAAAAAGTCAGACATGATATTGTGGACATAGAATCTTCGAATGGTGGTGATGTTTTGTGCAGGTGTCTAAGCGCCCTTTCATATCACTTGCTAACTAACTGCTGGCTTCTCAGCCAAGGTTGAAATATAGGGTTTTGTTTTTTGTTTTTACTGGTTTCTGTAGACAGTACCACCCACCATAGACGCGTTGCCACAGTGGTCGACGAAGACCAATGAGAAGCGGCGACAACTAGGACGACATTAGGGGAGTAATGGTGGTTGGCAACTATAAGTCTTGGAGCCAAGTATTGAGGCAGAACTTGGTACATGGTTTGTACCTTAATCCTTTCAGGCCAGATAGCAGGTGGGTTTTGGTACCTGGCTGGTAGTTTTGGCCAGGCACAATGTACTGGCATTCGATGGTTCGGGACACGAATAAGTTCAGCAGGCTACCCAAATTCGATACCAGTACTATCTCTTGCTGCTGCCACTGTGATTTTTAGGAGGAGCTGAATCATTGAATGTGGAAAATCGATCAATAATGGCCTTGAAACTGACTATTGTGACATACAAAGAGACGAGAAGAAACCAATTGTTTGGCAAAATGGTGGTGGGAGCTATTCGGGTAATGTCGGTCCTCTATCCAAAATTGTATGGCCCTTTAGGGAATCAGGGCGCATAACCCCACCATGCATAACTAAATATGAGCCTTTAGTTCAGAGTGGATCCAAAACAATTTAGATTTATAAAATGAGATTCATTTTCAATATATTTCGAGAGAAAAAAATTTCGTACTTGTTACCACTCATAGTATCACTTTAGTTTTTAAGTTGAATTTGAAAATTTTTGCACAGAAAAAATGGGGTTCATCAGAATCTATTACTTCACTTCAATTATGACTTAAGCTAATAAAAAATCAAGGATCTAGAAATTCTGGGGAAAAAATACAGGACCAAAAAAATACCCCCTCATATCACATTGATATAATTTGTAAATCTAGTTTTATATTATCCAGACTTATCGAAATAATAAGAATTAGTCAAATGTTAACTTTCAGTTAGAAATTGTGTTAGTAATATTGACTTGGCAATATGATACTGACTTGGAAAAAACACATGAAGATCAACATTTCAAAATGTTAGTATTTTAACTAAATTATGAACCATGTTGATCGGACGAATTACTCGAATCGAATTCTGTTGACACCTCTCTACCCACAGCAGAGGCGGATGGAGACAAAACCTCGTGTCAATGAGAATTCGATCCGAATTTCTATCATCCATCTCTTCTTGTCGATTTTCGACCAAAACCAAACATTTCTTCCCGTCGGCACGGCCGCAGGAAGGCTGGATATATCGAGTGCTAATTTCGGGGACTGCATTATCAAGCAGACAGTGATATATGCAGTTTCACCTTTCCCATCACCTGGAAGTACCAACGAAACTGTTCTTCCCCAAAATGGGCAGCAATGGCGAACATTCGCCTAGCCTTTTCAATCACTTCTGCTCCCCACTCACCATGGTCCATGAAAATGTACCGTACCGTTTCCCTGCAAGCACATAAGCACACTCCGCCATGCTACATACAGAAGCACACTTTGCCTGCAGGCTTCAGCGAGTCGGCGACAAAAATCAATGCCATAATCTAAAACAGTTTACGATACAAATAACTTGTCCAATTGTACAATGACAGACGACCTAAAAAAAATTGTATGCTAACTTGTCATGCAAGCTTGGAGTTGTTGTAATGGTTTATCTAGCAAGTAGCATAAGAAAAAAAGACATCTTTATTGACAGAATCCATGCTCGAGACCGTACTGAAACAGCCCAAGTTCCCCACAAGAACATCATCCCACCTTCTCTGATTTCTTACTCCAATAAATTGTTGTGCGGAACCAATGGCCATTCAAGTACCTGTGGAACAGACAAATTATAGAGAGGTCAGTGGGAGTTCCACGAATCAGATTGTAGGAGCAGTGATGGATGTGATTGATGACATTGTTTACACGGAGCGTCGACACAGGAAACAGGGTTTTCTAGGCAAATACAAATTACTTACTGTGAAACATGCAACTAAAAGCTCGTATATCATGCTCAGTGGATAAACAGGAACACTGAACACCGAGCAAGACAATGTCAACTGTGTCAACTTCGTCCAAAGTACGCTTTTCAGTTTAGATTAAGATTCCATGGTTTCTAGAACACTTGAGGAATGTTGACTGGAGGAATAAAATCACTGCCATTCCTAGAGTGCATCAGAAAGATCTGCACCCTAGGAAATCCATCCGACAATCTGACTACTGCTCATTCTATAACTAAAAGGCGAAGCAGCTCAAGAGAGCATCATAAAACATGTGAAAATAAGGCTGGGATTTGCAGAGGAAAAGTAGTAGAGAAGCAAGTAGAGGCTGATTTAGTGAAAGGAAGCCTAGGAATGTTTGAAAATGGTAGATTGTAGATGTCTCTCATTTGCAAAATACTTCAGGGTGTTCATAAGGTCATCTTCTAACTCAAGCAAGTTGAGAATTCATTTTTCTATATCCTTTCCGAGAACAAAAGATATCAACAATAAATGAGAACCTACAGTTATTGCATGAATCCTGTGCCTTTGGTTGATTGAAAGTTCACACGTGCATCACCCGTCTTTTCCATTCCTCCCTATCAATCCCAATCCCAATATTCATATGAACCGAATGCACCAAAAACTTACATCAAACCTAGATCATAGACACAATAAGAAGCTCATATAAAAGCATATGTCCTGCTATCAAATATGAGAGGCACAAACCAAAAAAAAAATGAAGACATGCAGCTTTTTATGTCATCATGTGCCCTAAAAATGGTAAAACTCACAAAGAAAATACTAGCGATCCTGACAAGAACGGCAGACGGTACCATGAGACAGCTCGCAGAAAGCCCGCAAATTAGCATTGAGATGAGAAGCAAGGTGGGTCTTGGCAACCATGCTGTACAGTGGCAAGAAAGACTGGACACATCCCAACTCTCCCAAGTTCCTGTAAGACAACAATTTCAAGTGGTCAGCATAAAAGAAACAGAGACTAACGTACTGAGAAACCTGATACCCCAAAAAAAAAAAAAGTGAAAGCCTTCAGCGGTTATGCATGCCTCACTACCTAGCTTTTAGTAGTTTAAGAGTTTGTTAAAATTAACAGCTTGCTTTGACACAGCCTATTGTCACCTTGTTTTTCCCCCCGATGAATAAGGTGTTTATTCATCAAGAAAGAATGGTAAAGAATACCATTCTAAGTTCTAACTGGTAACCAATCCACAAGTACAGACTGATATCAGAGCCTATACACAATGACAAACTGAAAACCAGATTACAACAACAAAAACAGCTTTCAAACTATACTATTTATGTCAGCTTCTGTGATAGCTATGCCTACTTGAGGGAAACCAATCCTCAGCAAAAGCAGCAGCTGCTGCACTTTCTTCAGCAACTGAGTTTCAATCAGAGACTCATTAGCATATTGGTCGCCTTGTTTTACATGCTCTGTGATTATTCCATAAACAAGATTTAGATCAACCATGCTCCACGTCCAACCATCGGCCAAATGCAATCGATCTTCATTGAAAGAGCACCTTCCTTTGCTCTTTCGAAATGCCAAACAACTACCCTAAATCTGAATTGATAAAACCGTACTAAGCTAGCTTCCTGGTTCTTCCACTGAAATGATCAAGTGACTATACATAAATTGGATCCAAATAACCCCCCGGTTCTTCAACAGAAAGGACTCCATATTATTATACAAATTAAATGGACGAGACGGCCGGAATTTCAATTCAACACTATCAAGCAGATCTCTATTGACAAGTGTGAGCAGGATACCTGGATGGAGAGAAGGAGACCCGGCGCGACTGAACGCGGGGAGCGGAGGCGGTCGACGGGCGGAGGCGGGGAAGCGGAGCTGAAGAGGAACGCACAGATGGCGCCCTGGCGGCAGACATCAAGGAGCGCGAGAAGGAAGAAGTTCCGCTGCGCCAAGCCATGATGGTTTGTGTTGCGGACAGCTATCGACAGAGCACTGGAGGCGATGGCTGCGAAGAGTCGGTAACAGTGGCCGAAATAGGGGTTTTTGGATTTAGGGTTTAAGATGGCTAATGGGCTAATGGCCAACGTTGGAAAGAAAATAGTAAGATGGTCTTTATGATGAAGACCGTCCGATCAGCTGACTCCTTTCTTTTATTTATTTTTTATAGTAAATATAATATATTAGCCACAATTATTATGAAATGGGGAATTATAGCCACAACTATGGAAATTCAAATTATTAGTCAAACGTTAACTATCTGTTAACAATTTCGTTAGTAATACTCACTAAACTTTTAGGTTTTAAAGTTATAAATTAAAAGCATTCCGACGTGGCCGATGACGTGGCCTTCTCTGTCAAAAATTCAATAACAGTAACGGACAGTTAGCCATATCTTGACCTGCAACAATAGTTATGGCTAATAATTTGAATTTTCATAGTTGTGGCTATAATTTCCCGCTTCATAATAATTGTGGCTAATATATTGTATTTACCCTATTTTTTTTTTACAAAAATAGGGTGAGTACTGTGGGGTTTTAGTGTATATATTGAGTCTCTTGGTAATCCATGTTCGTCTTTAGTGTATCCATGAAAAGCACAAGATGACATCAAAATTCGTAAAATAGTACAAAAACACACTCAAAGCCTATTTTAAACTCATAAATCAAATATTTATAATATTCCTATAAAATATTAAAAAAAATATTAAAGAGACATTGATAGAAGGGAAAATGTATCAAATATAAAAGTGATAAACACTATCAATTGAGCGTCATGAGAGATACCCCATATTTGAACTTTGCTTGTTCTCAAGCAAACACTACTCACAATCACACAACTAATGAAAGTCAAGGAACATCACCCTACCTCGATCTTAGGTAGTGGGTCATAAGTGAACTTTACAAGGTCAACAATAGCACGAGAGAATTCTAACCATGTTAGTATGCAAGATCTTCATGCAATCCAATCCAAGCATAAACAACTAATCATGCATTAGAGTCTCAAAACACATAGGGAGAAGCTTTTGATAAACGATTTGAGCTTAATAATGCTTCTACCATCATTTGACATACCTTATTAGAACACATACCGTCACTTTCTTTCTATTCTTGTTAGATTTTCTACAGAGCATCACTTTTTTGTGATTTTCTTATATAGCAAGCTCTCTATTTATTAGAGCATTAGACCCTTATAGTTTGAGCAAGAGCAATTTTATATCTCTGCCATCGCCAGAGTAGTTCGTTTAACTTGTATACCTCAATTCGTATGGATGATCAATGAAATTAAGAGGTTGGAAGTTGATAACACCCAAATTGGTGTTATCCGTCCTTCATATTTAGGTTTGTCTCGTGCTAATTCATGTGCATAATCATAAGAATATCGTCGATTACATCCTTATTTCGTTCCTATTTGATTATGATGTGATTTTATGGTACTTTAGACGATATATGTGAATTAGGTACGAAAAGGACCACAAGTGTAGCAAAGTGGGCAGGAAGCTGATGATCACGACCTGAAGGAGAAGAATCATGAAGGCCCACGGAAAAGAGCTCACTCACCACATGCACTTAACCCAACTTATTAAGACATTGCATGATAGACCTAGGCTAGGGTGAGGGATAGTTCCCCGAAGTACCTGCTTTTATCCTTGTTTATTCTCTTTATTACAGCCTGTTTGGATAGACAAAAACCTCATGAATTAGAATTTCATTTTCAATTCCAGTTCAATATTTTATGTTTGGAAGGATAAGAATGTTGAGAAATGAATTCCATTTGGGCTAAGTTTTGGGAATCACAATTCCTATCAATAGTGATAAGAAATGGGTTTATGAAGATGGAATTCGTGGGTCCCATCATTATTTATTATTATTTTATTAACCAACTATCACCCTACTCTCTTTCTCTATCATTCATATTCCATTTCCAAGATAAAATAAATAAATTACATTATTAATTATTGTTAAAAGTGCAATTCATTTCTATAGTTGTAGGAATTATACCAAACACTAAAATTGGAAATGGAATTATATAAAAATAGGAAATTGAAATAGAATTCTATTTCCATTTCTTCCTGAATTGTATCCAAACAAGCTATTAGTATTTCACTTGAATCCTCCAACACGAACCCCCTTAAACCGACCGATTAGTTAACAACAATGTGGGAAGTAGACTAGGGTACCAGGACCCGAGTGAATACGACATTGATTGCCACTATATGACAATGCCATTTTAGGTTAAACTTGGCCTAGGATGGAGTAGTTATTGAGACGTGCAAACTACTGACAATGACTTGCACGGAATGAATCGATCAAGCTTTTTGGCGCCGTTTTCGCGGAACCTCGGTAACTAGTAGAATCATCAAGTTGTTAGTTTAGTGTTTATTTTCTTTGTTGTATTTTTGTTATTTTTGTAGTTTTTAGTTTTTAGCGTTTTGCGTTTTGTCATCCAACTTTGTACGTAACAGGTTGTTGAGTTTGTGTCTTGTAGCACTCTTGTATGCGAAGGAAGAACTCTTTGGAGATAGTACCTCTTGATACAAAATTCGAGAGAACCCTTCGGAATCTAAGAAGAGTTGCGAGACATCAATATCCTCCAATGACGGATCAACAACGTCAACCTCAAGTTCCACCAAGGCCTAGAACAATGGGATCTTACTCAAGGTCAAGTGTGAATAATGTTCAATCACCTATTCTTCACCCACCGGTGCCAGACAACAACTATGAGAAAACCAGATGATCTAGACCAGGCCGCAACGGGCCGCACCGGACCAAACCGACACTTAGACTGGACCATACTGAAATGAATATAATATTGTACCGTCCTTGGTTCGACGAATTTTATAATTACGGAAGAAAAATGGACCAAAGTGACATTTGGACCGAATCAAAGACATCAAATACAATGTTGGTCCAGTTCTTAATCCTAAAACAATTCTCACAAATTTAGTCTGATCCGAACATAGACCGAATCGTTTCAAACTCCTAGTAAGTACTATACAAACTACTATAAAGTTAGCCCAATATCCAATCCCTTCATATAATTATCTACCATTTCAATCTCTTCAAACAAGAACCACCTTCTCCCAAAAGGGATTCAGTTCTTACACACGTCAAATCACTATTGAATATGTACAAATTACACGACGCAATACTCGCCTTCACCATCTTTTCTCCATAGTGCAATACTTGTACAGAATCGCCTACCGTTGACCAAACACCAACTTCATGAAGCTGACCTTGCTTCCAGCACAGGTTGACCGTCAACCCTCCTCTCGCCCTTAACCCTTTGGCACACCCATTGGGCCACTTGTCCCGTGGAAGAGCAGGGAGCAAGTACAGTTCAGTCCCTGTGCCTTGAACCAGCATCTCTGCTATCACTGCCGAGAAGCTGCATCCAAAAAAAAAACAGGAAACATTGCAAATGGTTGGTTATGATGAATGAATGCAGAATAAATAAATCATAATATAACACTTTGCAAAAAAAAAAAATCTAAAATATTAGAATTTCGGCCGGTTCGCTCGACATCCAAAGGGCCAATAATCGTGGTTGAAACAAGCGAATGGCCCTCAAAATACTCCTTTTCGCGGCTGACCCCAGCGAATCATACTAGATCGCTGATCACCCTAAGATCTACTCCTATTCTAGATTGTCAGATTTCTGATTAATGCTTCTTGCTTTGATTGAGAGAATGAAAAAAACGTACATCATCCAGCTAGAGTTGCTGGTTTTATACTCTGTTCTCCTGATAAGTAGGAAACAGTTGAGCCTATCAACTAACCTAATCATATTACATTATAGTACCTATCCTAATTACAATCTATCTATATAAACTTTTCCTTATTACAATTTGGTACATTGTATCTCTAATATAGATCAAACTGCAAAAGATCATAACTTTAATCTCGGTTATCCGACCGTAGCGAAACTTTTTTGGAATGGATAATCGAGCTCAAATTTACTCTCATTTGAAATTTTGACATAAAGTCGGTGTAAATCGCGGGAGTTTCCTGCAATTTTCTAAGGGTAGATCGTTGTTCTAGGGAAACGACCTGTATTGACCGTGGTGACGTGCAGCACCACCGAAATTTGGAGCTTATCGCTTCCTACAACCACGATCTACCCTTATTTGCTCTCAACTCCAGCGAACTGTTTCAAACTCTAGTATTTTAAGAATTTTTTTTTTAAGTGTTGTTTTCCAACCCCTTATATTTTGGGATTTCTTCAGCCATTTTCCACAAGTGAGCAAAGTGTGTAGAGTTGTTCACCCCAAGTTGGCATCAATCTGGAATGGTGGGTGAGCAGCAAACAAGTTGCTAAAAACTCCTCCTTCGTTGTCTCGTTCATAGGCTGGATCCACCAGGTTGAACAAATGCTTCACCATTTCATATGCCTTCCTGCTCTTTTGCAGCCTTGCCCACAATGCAGCTTTCCACACAGTCGACCATCCCGGACCCTCCACACCTGGTTTTTTTTTTTTTTTTTTGGGTGTTTCACCGTACAATGGAGAAGGTGATTAATGTCAACAATTGTGCTGAAACAAAATCAACACAGAAAAAGGTCTACATGTTCATCAATTGGGACGATGTATATTGTTATATCTGTACCTCTCTTGACAAGAGTCTTTTCAGAAGCACTGCAAAGTTGAGGAGTGTGTCGAGGAGTAATGGCGCGGCCAGGGAACAACCCAAAGAGATGAGAAACGTGCCTGTGCTGAGGATCTGGGTCTTCAAACTCTGAAGCCTGTCCTCCAAAAAAACAAAAACAAAAACAGAACCAATAGGTAAACGGGTCATCACGGTTTGTACATTGAAGAAACCATTGGTGATGGTTTTAATCGTGTACCCATTCCATGATTGTGCCATCCTTGGCAACTTTAGTGGGTGGAAGGCGGGCTCGAGCACGACGAACTTTCTGAATGAGTTCATCATCCTGTCTCCCTAGAACCTGTTTAATTTTGGCAGTAAGGGAAGAGAAGTTAATGTACTGGTGGTGGTGCTAAGAAGTGAAAACTATGAATGAAGTACTTCATTTCTTTTTTTACCTCAGCAGCGGAGAGAATATCCGAGAAGACTTGTGTTATGATCGACATGTCCATAGTTGTTGAGTTGCTCACACTGGCTTGCTTTCCGCCTTCTGGATCGATGAATTTGTGCTCAGGAGAAGTTGATGGATTGGTTTCCAGATTCCCTCCCTGCCCCTCCACCAACCAGCCTAGCAGAAACTCTGTACATCCTTCAAGCAAAGGGTAACCCTTCTTCCCAAGGAAATCCTGAAGACGCACAAACACACACACAAAAATGGTTAAGAGAGGAATGTGAGAAAAGCTGTAGCACAGGGAGAAAAGGGATGTTTGAAATCAAACAGCTTACTTTGTCCATTGTATAGCTATAATGCTCCCACAAGTGAGTACAGAGCCAAGCGCCACCCATTGGCCACATAGCCCATACGGCATCTCCCTGATCTGGAGACGTTTTAGCCCATATGTCACTGACCTGATGTGCAACCCAGCCATTGTTAACTCCATAGTTCACCTGCCACCATTGTATTAACCAACAGAAGGAAGTAATGTTACTGTCAGACAAGAAATGAGAGAAAGTGGGTACAATCAGAGTGGAGATGGAGTTCATACTTTAGCCGTCTCCTTCCCATTGACTGCAAGGGAGGACATGTAGTCGAACAATGGCTCTTGGCATTCCTGGAGATTGCATGACAGTGCTGACCAGTAGTTCATTTGCAGATTGATGTTCAAATGTTGTGCTCCTCTACACAAGTGAAAAAACAAGCGAAACACTACCAATTAGTTGTAGTTTCCATCACAAAATCAAACTGGGCGGAGAGAGGAAGATGCATTACTCCCATGGTGGGTTGACATCCTCGTTCCATATCCCCTGCAAATTCGCCACCTGGGTTCCAGGCCTGGAACAAGATATCAGCAAGTAACGGCCGTACTGGAACATCAAAGCCACCAGCGACGGATCTTCATCCATCTGAAACGACTTCACCCGCTCTGCAGTTGACACAACACGGCTCCCTGAGTTCGTCCCTCGAGAGAGCTGCAACGAAACGCGGCGGAAAAGGCTCTGATAATCCTCCAAATGCTTCAATCTCAAATCCGCATACGCCACATTTGCAAGCGAACTCAACGCCTTCCGGCAATCTGAATCTGGGTCCTTCTTGGAATCGACGGGGCTGGTGAAAGGCCCATCGAATGAAGACGAAGCCACCAGAATCAGAACTGCGGAATCCGCAAAATCAACCTTCAACTTCTTCCCGCCGTCCAAAACCCTCACCGCTGCGGTCTTCCCTCCTTCGATCTTCAACTCCAGCGTGGCAGTGAACTGAATGCCTTTCGGATGACCCCTGCAACTTCCTTTCAGAACGATCTGATTCCGACGACCTTGGATGAGCGCAGTAGTGTGATTCAGCTTGCTGTGCAGATGAACAGTGAATGACAGAGACCCCGGTTTGCTCCCAGAGATTCTGGTCACGATTGCTTGATGTGGGTTCGATGCGAAATGCTCCCTTGTGTAATCCACATCCCCAACTGAGTATTTCACTGTAGCCATTGCAGTGTCCAAATCCAGTTCTCTGATGTACGTCTTTGGATCGTAATTCTGATGGGCGGCGTCAAATTCAAGCACTATGTCCCCAAGCAGCTGGTACCTCTACATTACATTACAATACCCAGAAAACGGTTAACACTGAAAGACTCAAGGGAAGGGATTCATACCGGAAATCGAAGCAGAATGGAGAACAAACCTGAGAGGGAGTTCCTGACAATTTAATCGCCTCGGCGGAAGCTTCAGGGTAGAGACCGGAACTGACGAGTTTTCTGACCACCGATAGAGCCGCCGGCGCATTGGGGTCGGAGTAGGTTCCGGGAACGCCGGTCCACAGCGTATCATCTACACCAAAAAAAGAAGAAAAAAAACCCCAATCAATCAGCCAATGCAGAAGCACATTCTGACGGAAATCGGTGGTTTTATCCAGATTTTGAACGAATCTGTAATGTGGGTAAATTTTAATTCACCGTTAAGCTGAAGAGTCTCGTTAGCTACGCCGCCCCAGACAGCGGCGCCGAGGCGGCCGTTGCCAATGGGGATGGCGTCGGTCCAGTACTTGGCCGGGGCGGTGAATGTAAGCTTCAGGGGTAGTACTACTCCGCCGTCGGCGGAGGAGGAATCGGTGCGTCGTCCGGCGGCGGCGGTGGGGTTTTGGGAGCCGTAGTCCTCCTTGTGCGTGGCGTGAACGAGTGGCAGAGAATTGTGGAGGGAGAGAAGATAAGCGAGTGGTGAGGCAATGAGGAGGAGGGAAGAGAGGAAGCTGAGGGGAAGAAGAAATGAGGGAGCGGAGTTCGGGCGGTGGTGGGAGCGAGTGTTGGTAGACAAGGAAGAAGAAGAAGAAGAAGAAGACGCCATGAGAGGAGGGAAGGAAATTGTGTGGAAGGCTTAGCTAGCTTCCTTCTTCTTCCTTTTTAGTTTTTGTGGGAAGGATTGAAATTGAGGATGGTATTAAAAGGAGGATTTTTGGTCAGCTTCAGGGGTCGCGAATAAAAGGGCTAAGGATTGCCATTTGTTGGACAGAGCAGACAGAAAGAATTTAGGCGGCGGAGTTTCTTTTTTGAGCGAGCGAGTTCTTGGAGAGCCGGTTTTCGGAGCGTAGCAGCCGCCCGGAGCTAAAGGAATAATGCTTTCCGTCCGACTTTCAGTAACCGCTTTCGATTGTATAAGTTTTTTTTTGTTTTGTTTTTGTTTTATTGTCTTACTAGATTTATGCCCGGCCGATTGGCCGGGATGTGTTTCATTTAATTTTTAAATTAATCCATTTGATTCTCGTGCTTAAATTATTTTGAATATTTAAAATCTCTGAGAGTTTTGATATATTTGGTGTGACCTACATATCGGTTTAATATATGATCTAACTTCTCAATTAATCACTCAATGTTTAGTGAATAATTCTCTGTATTGAATATAATCAATACATTTTCTTAAGTAAAAAACTCAAACTCTTAATCATTACACATTAAATAGTGGTTAATTTGATTATAAACATATACGATGTATAATAATATACTTTTCTATATTGGATTAATACTAATTAAAATAGTGGAATTTTATATCTTATATAATATACTGGAAAATTGCGAATTTGACATTGATTTTATTATTTTGTTTCATGTTTGACACACAAAAAAAAATTAAATTTCTTGGTGGTCAATAACTTTAAACTCTTATTTCATCATTGAACACTTTCCGTCAATTTTTATTAAATATGTTTCATGTGGCAGTCAACTAATATAGTTGACCGTTAAACAGGTTACATGACAATTTTTTAATTAATTATTTCTATGTTACAGTCATAAATATTAAAAAATCCAACCTTAAAAAATAATAAAGCATTTTTAGATTAGCGCATATGCCACGTCGACTTTGGAGCTTAGCCAGTTGTTCTCGGCAATTTTTTTTACGCCAACAATTTTCGTCCTAATGAATTTTCATATTGAAAATTTTCAGAAATAGTATGATTTTTATGCATTTTAAATAGATAAGCTAAGTTTTAGATATTTTTCTATTAATATACCTAAACCCTTTATCCAAAAGAAAAGGATTTTGTTAATCTGAACTCCTATTGGAAAAAAATACATTAAAGGAAAGAGAATGTAAATCTCATTTTTAATTGATCTAAACGGGAAAATAGGGTTTAAAATATATTTTATTGTTATTAATAATTAATTAATATAATTTTATTAATATATTTTAGTCCATTTAAGTTGATGGACTAAATTATAAATTTTGTGATGCTAGTATGAGATTCGTTCAAAATTCTATTAAATCTTTACTCAATATCGGTTTACCTCGTTAAGTGAAAACATCATGAATTATAGATTAAAGTTTCAAACATTATGATAGTATTAATCTGTTTGTGAACTTGTGATAAAATTATCAAATTCGTTTGTAGGCAATGTCTACAAAATTGAGATGTTACAATAATGTTCTAATTTACATAAGAGAAAATTCTCATATATATAGATACAAAATCTGCAAGGATGTGTACCCAAAAAAAAAAAATCCGCAAGGGTTGATGGCTTGATGCGACATGGACTCAAATATAAAAGTATATTAATTTAATATATGCATGGCTATGAAACATATATTCATAATAAATAATTCATAAGCTATTATTATTTTGGACGTGTATATTATTTGTATCAAAGAAAAAAATGAAAATTAAGAATCCAATATTGTGAAGGAGGATTTTACCTTTATAGAGAGAATATTGGGAATTAATTCTCACAAAAAAATGACAAAAGATGAGAAGGTAACCGAAGGAGGTATTCATGGGAAAGAAAAACGGAAAAGGGGGAAATATTAAAAAAAATATGTCTGAGTAGGCGAAAACTGCGGAGAAGCCAGGAAGGCTTACGTGGAAGGGGTGGTTTTCCAAAACCCCTTTAATATATTTTAAGATAAGATGTCGACTGATCACCATATGACAATAATATTGAATTGTAGTTAATTAGGTTTTTAGACAACAATCACCTAATAACAAAACACATTCCATGCATCATCATAATGATTACCAAGATGAAAGAGGATAAAAATAAATTGTTATGCTGTCTTAAAAATGATACTGAACTTAGAGCTACTTAGTTTATTCAATCAACAATGACAATGGATGTTGGCATAAGTAATTAGTATGTAGTGATTCTAGTTGTAGAGAATTGAATTAAATTGACTAGCAAGTGAAATTTAATTCATTTACATTACATAAGAGGTTCAGTCGGAGCAACATGTCATCAATCTGGTGACATCATAGCTATCATTCAGTCTCAACACCGAGCAAGAAACAAGAACAGAGCTGGATGGACTAAGAAAACAGTTTTTTGGATATTTCGTGGATTGTGAGAGGAAAAATGGTGAAGTTATTAAAAATCAAATTTCTCACAATTTTCGGAAAAGAAGTTCTTATTAAGTAGGTTACTCAAATACAAATAACTTTTTTGCTATATTAGTGTTCATGATATCGTGTCGGGGTGCTTTGAGAGGTACATAGAAATAATTACAAATTTCTGGTGGGGCAACAATAGGCTTAGAGAAGAACAAACTGGCTCAAATTGGAAGTTATGTGCATACAAAAAAACAATGAGAGGAGATACTACTAACAGGGTTGAGATGGTGAATTGAAAATTGGGAGAATGTGGATATCTGGTAAGCTAAGTGGATTTCATATGGAGACAAATTTTAAAGTCTCTTTTCTAGTCTCTATGTTGGGAGAGACTACTTCAGCAGTGGAACTAATGATATGGAGATGAAAAGTGAAAACTTGGTTGCATTACTTGCTTCATTTTTTGACAATCATCACTAGATAAAAGGGTGTGGAGTTGTGAGACGTTAGATCAGTACATTGTAAATTCGGTATATAAGTTGTGGCAAATTAGAAATGATGAAGGAATGAGAGAGTTATACTCACGATAAAACTAGAAAATGATGTGGAATTTGAAAGGGGATATGTAACATTCTACCTACTGGAGTTGAAGTTGTGCAAATGACACAAAAGAAAAGTGAAGGATGCCCGTTTTGTGATCTAAAAGAAACATATGAACACATTTAATTTTGTGATTATGGATGGACATGACGATCATGGTGACCTAGCTCACCGGATATTATGTTATGACAGGGAGAGAATCTAACATGCGAGGAATGTTTTTGTGCCCTCCAAGAAAATGAATAAGATGAGATGGTGGAGTGATTCTTGGTCGTTATCTTGTTCATATGGGATTAACGCAATAGTCATCTTTGAAACAAGAAAATACCAGAAGAATGGGAGATCATGGATTCATGGGTCAAGCCATCTAGTTCGAAATTTCTCTTTGGCATCGGTGGGGGGGAGAGTACCTCACAAGATATGAATTAGGAGTTCTTTCTTGAAACGGCGAGGGAGCTAGGTATTTGATCACTGGGAAAATGTACATTTTTATACCCTCATTTCATGGAATGCTTTACACGGTTCTACATATTTTATACCATATTAACTTGGATTTGTTGGGTAGTTGCTTAAATGTATGTTTAGTAGTCTCTAGAGATGCTTGGTACCTTTTTTTGTAGTATTTTGTGCATTTTCAAGCATTGACACCCTATTGGACCATCTTGTATGAGACGAAAACATCAAAGACCAGACTACTAGATATTAGAAGACCCATTATTAAATCTTTCCGAACAACTCGAGTTACCGATATACTAAACGGTCGTGACAAAGACCACAATTCAAAAGCAAATGTCTAATTAAATCATGAATAATTATTTGATACATATAAAGTGATATTCTTGATAGTTTTGACATATATTTAATTTACCAAAATTTTTGTAAATACAAAATTATATCATGAATGATTTAAAAAGCTAACAAAAATATCTTTATCGTATGTATCTTTTTCTAAACGAACCACACTCGACAAAATAATGACGACGCCCCTCAATGACGGCTCTTATTTGGGTTCCTTTGGTTTGGATCGGACCCTATCAAGGTTGTCAACCCGCGGGTCGACCCAGTTTGACCCAGACCCAATGAGAAAAACGGGCCACACGCACCCGCCGGGCCGACCGCTATAAGGTACCGGGTTGGAGGTCAAATTGTGTCATTTTTTCCTTTGATTTGCGAAATGCGCCTTTTTTCTGATTTTTCTTTTCGTCCAACTCAATCTTTGGAATCCTAAGTTGAACATTTGAATATTTATGTTATATAAGTGTGTGTGAATTTTCATTATATGTTGGATCTAAGTATGATATGTTATTTTGGTGTAATATTATATGTTATAACTCATATGTTAGATAATATTGATATAATTTATGAGGATAAGTACAATATAATGACTTTTTCCATATTTCCGGGCCGAACGGGGCTAAAACAGTTGACCCATTAACCCTTGACCCACTACCTCCACCGGGTCCGGGTCAACCCGCGGTTGACAACCTTGGACCCTATTGAATATCCAACCGTATTTATAGGTCGGGCTTGGATCCTCCTTTTCTTACTTCACATGCATCTCGTTGTAACCGTTTTCTTCTCGACTTGGCCCATTTCAATCTAATCCAACTTGTTATAAGAAAAAAAGAGTGAATTAATCTGTAGAGAAAGGTTGAATAGTCCCTTCTTGCCGTTGCATTTTCTTGTTCTAAACAAAGTGTAGACTGACTAAACAAAGTGTAGAACAATCATGTCTATACCAAGTTCCCCTATGTACATTTCCTTCTGAAAATCAACGGAAGGTCCGGTGAAGGCACAACACCGATGTATTTAATTTCCATCATCTGAATTCTGAAAGCAACATTTTTTGTTCGCTTCCCGTTTCTCCATTAGCAACCGAGACAAATTACAGATAGCCACAAACCATGTAGCCACTACAGTCCAGCTTAGGGGCTCAGAGTTCATCGGCATTTTTCATTAGGTAGAATAAAACATCGCCATTTTTTTTTTTTTACATAACACAACACCGTGAATAATTCATTAATCATTTCCCAATACGAATACTAATACCAAAAACCCACCTTTTGCCTCGGCGATCTCTAAAACAACAAGCTAAGCATCCCCCCAAAAATGGCGTCCACGACGACGACCAAGGTCAGCGGCGAAGTGATCGGAATCGACCTCGGCACCACCTTCTCCTGCGTCGCCGTCGCCCGCAACGGCGCCATCGAGATCATCGCCAACGACCAGGGCAACCGGACCACCCCGTCCTCCGTCGCCTTCTCCGCCGCCGAGTCCGAGCGCCTCATCGGCGAGGCCGCCAAGAACCAGGCCGCCCTCAACCCTCACCGCACCATCTTCGACATCAAGCGCCTCATGGGCAAGCAGTTCGACGACTCCGACGTCCAGTCCGACCTCAAGTACCTGCCGTACAAGGTCGTCAGCCGCGACGGCAAGCCCTACGTCGAGCTCGACGTCAAGGGAAGAGACAAATCCTTCAGCCCGGAAGAGATCAGCGCCATGGTCCTCGGGAAGATGAAGGAAACCGCCGAGCTCTACCTCGGGAAACCCGTCACCAACGCCGTCGTCACCGTCCCGGCTTACTTCAACGATGCCCAGAGGAAAGCCACCAAGGACGCCGGGACGATCGCCGGTCTCAACGTCATAAGAATCATCAACGAGCCTACCGCCGGCGCGTTGGCGTACGGCCTCCGGCTGGACGTGAAGACGAGGAGGAAGATACTGGTGTACGATCTGGGGGGCGGGACGTTCGACGTCAGCGTGCTGGAGGTCGAGGGCGACGTTTTCGAAGTTCTGGCGACCGGCGGGGACACGCACCTCGGAGGCGGGGATTTCGACCAGAGGGTGATGGAGTACTTCATCGGGCTAATCAGGAAGAAGTATAGCGGGGCTGATTTGACTTCTGACAGGAAGGCCATGGGGAAGCTGAGGAGGGAGTGCGAGCGTGCGAAGCGCGTGCTGAGCAGTCAGAGCCAGACGCGCGTGGAGATCGACTCGCTCGTCCGGGGGCTCGACTTCTCGGAGCCCCTGACGAGGGCCAAGTTCGAGGAGCTGAACCTGGATCTGTTCAGGAGGACGCTCGAGGTGGTGGAGGGGACGCTTCGAGATGCCAGACTCGAGAAGAGCGAAATCGAGGAGATCGTGTTGGTGGGAGGGAGCACGAGGATCCTCAGGCTCAGGGAGATGCTGAAGGAGATGTTCGGCGGGAAGGAGCCGAGCAACAGGGTGAACCCCGACGAGGCCGTGGCGTACGGCGCTGCGGTTCTCGGTGCGAGCCTCAGCGACGTACCGGACCATCATGAACATGGTAAGATCGACCAGTGTTTTAGAAACCCTACCATATCGGTCAGTCTGACCAAAAGGTGACTACCATTATGTGTGATTTATCTTTAAATAAAAAATCAATTAGGGTTGATTGATGTCATCGTTGATTTATTGACTTGCAGATGTTACTTTGCTTGATGTAACGCCCTTGAGTTTGGGTGTTGCGATACTTGGCGGTGTGATGTCTATAGTGATCCCAAGAAACACACATATTCCTACAATGATGACCGACGAAGACTATGAAACTGTCTACGACCAGCAAACTAGTGCGACTTTTCAGGTTGGATGTGATGAACCAAAACTTTAATGCATGTTCTATATATTCATTTTGGGTCAATGGAAATTAATCTAGATCATATGATTAATCACTGTCGATAATATTACTAATGATCTTATTAGGTATACCAAGGAGAAAGGCCCTTGGTTGAGGACTGTATCAAGTTGGGGAGCTTTGATCTATCGGGTATCACACCGGCTCCCAAGTACGTTACGAGTTATTAGGGTTTGACGATCACTCAACTTCAAAATGAAAATTGTATTTAGAATGTATTAAAATGCTGGCTTTTTTTTTTTCTCTCAGGGGAGTTGCCAAACTGGAGACCACATTCGAGATCGATGCAGACGGGATACTAAAGGTGACTGCCAGGGAAACGACTTCGTCGAGATCGAAATCGCTCGTGATAAAGGACTACAAAGGGAACCTGACGCAACGAGAGATCGAGAGGATGGTGAAGGACTCGAAGAAGATGGTCGAGGAAGACAAGCTGGTGAGGGCTCGTGTGGATGCCCGAAACCGGTTCGAGCGATTCGTGTATGACTTGAAGAACACGGTAAGTGACGGGGACGGCTTGGTGAGCGGGAGGATGGGTTCGGAGGACAGGAGGAAGGTGGAGCGTGCACTGGAGGAAGCTTCTGAGTGGCTGGATGATAACCATTGTGGCAGCAAGAAAGATTATGAGAAGAAGTTGAAGAAGCTGACGGATGTTTGGAACCCTATCATTACCAAAGTTTATAAGCTTATCAGGTAGGATCAGGGTTTCTGGGCTTGAGATTTCAAGGAATTGGTTTACATGAACCGTGTGTGTGTGTGTTTGCTACATGTGGTGGAGGTATTATCTAATGTTGAAAAAATAAATTTTCGTGATGTATAAACTTTATATAAATAAAATTAAGGAAACCCTCTCAGCTCTTATATATATATATATCTGATAGGGATTTTCCCATGTGGTGGTTCCTATTTATCAATCCATGTACACTTGTCATTTGGCCCGTCTGATTTTCTTGATCAGAAAATTAACTTGATTCTTTAGCTCGTCGTTTCAATTTGGGTAAGATCAGGTGTCTAGGGGATACTTTAGTCACATGACTAATCTAAATCTAGTCACTCATTCAAATTCTAATCTAATTAGTTGTGCTATTTGATTAAATATAAATATTTTAATAAACTTTATTCTATTTCAATAGTAAGTTCAATCCAAATTGAGGTTTACACCTCTCTTCTCATCCCCAAATCCTTGCTCAGGACTTGTGTTCTCTTATGCCAACATGCCACTTGAAATGATATAAACATGGAGTAATTATCATAAACAGTAACACAATTTATCACTTAGTACAAAACGATCACCAAAATTTAATATTGCACGTTTCAGTAAAACATGTTTGGACGAATAACAAAAAGGTCATTCCGTCCATTTTCATCCAAAAATCCGTTAAGTCAGTCTAGCCAGCATGCCACGTCACAAAAAAAAAATTAATAGCCCAAACACTACTAAACCCAACCAAACCACACCCAACCGATGACTATACCCTACAAGAATACAAACCCAATATATTTTTCGGGTGGGTAAAGTGCGGTTCGATTGGGTTTAATAGATTTTGGTTTATTGATTTTTTTTTAAATTTTCTTTCTGATGTGGCATGCTCACTAGACTGAGTTAACAGATTTTTGGATGTATATGGACGGAATGGCCTTTTTGTTATTCATCCAAACGTGTTTTACTGAAACGTGCAAAATTAAACTTTAGTGACTGTTTTGTACTAAGTGATAAGTTGTGTGACCGTTTATGATAATTACCCTGTAAACATAGTTAGGCATCTTGAAATGAACATGTATATTATGATAATTACCCTGTAAACATAGTTAGGCATCTTAAAACGTACCCGAAGTTATATCGAAAAAGTTAACGATACGATATTATATACGAAAATTGTGGTTGAACCGATACCCAGTATTTTCGATCGAACCAATTGATACCATAGAATTTCTTAAACCATGCTTTTTAATTAACTGGACGGAAGGATCATCAACAAACATAAATACATCCACCGCTATATTTTTTTTTTTATCTCAAAACCAAATCCAAACATTACCTTGGAGCCAAAAAGAAAAGAAGAAAGCAACTGTACGTAGAACATAATTACACGATCTTGCCAACTTAATTAATTACAGACACCGCTACCAAGCTAGCAGCCTATGCATTATTACCGTTAAGTTTGTTGAGAATAGGGTTCCAAACATCCCTCAACTTCTTCATCTTCTTCTCATACTCTTCTTTCGTAGCATTAGGGTTCTCCTCCAACCAACGCGAAGCATCCCCGACGGCACTCTCCACCGTTCTCTTCTCGTACCAACCCATCTTGTCGCGCAACAACACATGCTGCGGCTGCTTGCCGTCGTCTCCATCACTGCTGCCGCTAGAGCTGCCCGTTCTGCTTATGGCGTTCTTGACGTCGTAGATGTAACGCTCGAGCTGGTTCCTGGCGTCGACGCGAGCCTTGGCTGCCCTGTCTTCCTCCGCCATCTTCGCCGCTTCCTTGATCATTCTCTCGATCTCCCGCTGCGTCAGGTCCCCTTTGTAGTTGGTGATGGTGAGGGATTCGGATCGCGACGACGAGACCTTCTCCCTCGCTGTGATCCTCAGGATTCCGTCCTCGTCGATCTCGAATGTCTCCTCTAGCTTTGCAACTCCCCTGAAATTTAGTTAGTTAATCAATCAACTCATGTCTCTCAAAAGGGTTAATAATATAGTTAGTCGGTTAGTGAAAGTAATTAAACATTGTTAATGGTAGTTTACTTGGATGGTGATTACCATAATTACTAAAGACCATATGTATATAAAATATAAATACGTACCTTGGAGCTGGGGTAATGCCAGACAGAACAAATCTTCCAAGCTCAATACAATCCTTAGTCAGAGGTCTTTCACCTTGATACACCTGAGAATTCACAACAGATCCAGTTTTTTCTTTTAACTGTTTGACTTTTATGCTAGGTAAGAAAATTGAAGTATATAAATGTAAAAGACCAGTGAATGGACCAGTTAGACCTAGTGTGGATATGTACAAATTATTTGTAACCAATTTTACATGTAGCAGTAGTGCGTACCATTAGAGGTGGCAATCTCAATCCAATCCACCAATCCATTAAAAATATCCACCTAATCCAATCCTTTTAAATCCATTTGATCAAAATCGAATTGGATTGGTGGATTCATTGATTGATCTATGGATCCAAATGACAAATTACAGTTTGGTACCTACACTTTTTATATTTTACGTTTTGGTACCTAAAATTTAATCTTTTATACCAAAAATATCATTGGAAGGTACCTAAAATTTTCATTGTTACATTTTAGTACATAAACATTTCACATTTTACATATTGGTCCTATGTTGAGGATGTCATTTAGACTCATGGATAATCCACCAATCCATTTGATCCAATCCATGAATCCACCAATCCATTGGATCTAATCCACTTGATCCATGGATCCACCAATCGATGGATCAATCCATTTGCCACTTCTACGTACCACTTCTACGTAACATACACCCACGATCATATGTAAAGTGTAAAATTGTAGGAAGAATTCTTCATGATGGTTCCTTCAATCTATTGGGGAAAAAAACTATTGAAATTCATATTGAAACCAAATGTAAACCATCCGAAAGGAAAACAAAATCTTTAATTAATCTCAGTTTTTGCATTGACTAAAGACTAATAATGCAAAGTTGATCTAATCTAATTTAATCTGTCCCTGTGCTACCAACCTTGTTTTCCTAAAATTGATCGTTTTTTTCCATAGATAAGAACAAACAAACGCGTCTATTAAACAAAGTCAACAACCTATAATATATTGGGGGCGAGAATCGCCCTTTAGTTCAAAAGAATCTCAGATTTTAACTACTTAAAGGTGCCAAATTCAATCCTTCTTCCATGTAACGGAGAAGTGGTCAACCAACCTTTATAGTAACAGCGGTTTGCTGGTCCTCTATAGTGTAATATTCCCCTGACATCTTTGCTGGAATGGGAGTATTCCTTGGAACAACCACAGACATCAAGCCTCCAGTCACCTCAACTCCCAAACTCAACGGAGTCACATCAAACAATGTAACACCTGCATGCACCCCAGTTAAGTAGTTGGTATCAACAGGAAAAAAAAAAACGACAAGACACATTTAAAATCGTAAGAACACGGATGATAATGATACCATATCGAGAATCAGCTTGGCCGCTAATGTTGGCTCCCAGCACGGCAGCACCATAAGCCACGGCCTCGTCGGGGTTCACCCCTTTGCTCGGCTCCTTCCCGTCGAACATCTCCTTGAGCATCTCCCTGAGCCTCGGGATCCTCGTGCTCCCTCCCACCAGCACGATCTCCTCGATCTCGCTCTTCTCCAGCTTCGCGTCCTCCAGGGTCGCCTTCACGACGGACAGGGTCTTCCTGAAGAGGTCCAGATTCAGCTCCTCGAACCGCGCCTTGGTCAGCGGCTCCGAGAAATCCGCGCCCTGGACGAAGGAGTCGATCTCCAGCATCACCTGACTCTGATTGCTCAGCGCCCTCTTCGCCCTCTCGCACTCCTTCCTCAGCTTCCCCAGCGCCTTGCCGTCCCCGCTCACGTCTTTCCCGTGTTTCCTCTTGATCAGCTTGATGAAATACTCCATGATTCTCTGGTCGAAATCTCCCCCGCCCAGGTGAGTGTCCCCGCCGGTCGCCAGCACCTCGAACACGCCGTCCTCGATCTCCAGCACGCTCACGTCGAACGTCCCGCCGCCCAGGTCGTACACCAGGATTTTCCGCTTCTTGTTACCTGTTAGAAACCGAACAAGAAAAAAAAAATTAGAAGTTACGATTCAGCTGACTCGCGGACCAGATCGCTCCCCTTTAAAAACGTTTCATGTCACTGCCTCGCGTCGTACACCGTCTCGAACAACTCCAAAACATTACACCTATTGTAAACATCTTTCACGAGGCTGTATCTACTTGTTAGCAAAAATATTGTAAAAACCGTCCACACTATCGATCAGATATTTTATGTCGAAACCGTGATTTAATCGTATTTCACATCGATAATGTAATACTTTCTATCCTTTACCCATTCTGTGGCTCAAACCGTAGGCGAGAGCCCCGGCGGTGGGCTCGTTGATGATGCGGAGGACGTTGAGCCCGGCGATCGTGCCGGCGTCCTTGGTCGCCTTCCTCTGCGCGTCGTTGAAGTACGCCGGCACCGTAACCACGGCGCCGCTCACCGGCTTCCCTAAATAAGCCTCCGCGGTCTCCTTCATCTTCCCCAGTATCATTGCGCTGATCTCCTCCGGGCTGAACGCCCTCACCTCCCCGCCGCCGCCGCCGCCGGCGGCGGCTTTGACTTCTATCTCGACGTACGGCTTCCCGTCCCGGTTGACCACCGGGTACGGCAGGTACTTCAAGTCGTGCTGGACCTCCGGGTCGTCGAACTTCTTCCCGATGAGGCGCTTGGCGTCGAAGATTGTGCGGCGCGGGTTGAGCGCCGCCTGGTTCCTCGCGCCCTCGCCGATGAGCCGCTCGGAATTCGCGGCGGAGAAGGCGACGAAGGAAGGGGTGATTCGGTTGCCTTGGTCGTTGGCGATGATCTCGATCTTGTCGTCGCGGGCGACGGCGACGCAGGAGAAGGTGGTCCCCAGGTCGATTCCGATCACGTCCCCGCTCATCTTTGCTTTCGCCATTTTTTTTTTTTTTTTGGTTGTGGAAGAAGGAAAAGGAGTGATTTGGTTTTTTGGTTGTTTCTTTGTCTTGTGTATTTAATGATCGGAGTCGCGGTAGGGCGGTTTGGTTGCTGGTGGATTGGTAGTAGAAGACTTTTGGAAAATTTCGGCGTCGTTTCGTCTCCCTGGGCGAGAAACTGTCGGGGCAGTCTCGAAGAAAAGCTAGTGGAAAAAGGACTCTTTTAAGAAAAATTTAGGGCGATACCTAGAACTACCAACGGTGTTGTCCATAGAGCTATAATCTTTCGATTTTTGGGTGGTTTCATTAGAATTTATTGTAAGGGGTTCTGGGTAAATTTGTATGAATAACTCTTGTCATCTATTGATATCACTCAGAAAAATATCCACTAATCCATTCCATTTAAATCCAATCCATTTTATCCAAAATCCAATTGGATAGGTGAATTCATGGATTGATCCATGGATCCAAATGATAAATTACGGTTTGGTACCTATACTTTTTATATTTTACATTTCGGTACCCAAAATTTAATTTTTATACAAAAAATATCGTTGGAAAATTACGTTTTGGTACATAAAATTTTTCATTATGACATTTTAGTACCTAAACTTTTCACATAGAACATATTTGTCCTTAGTTGAGGATGTCATTTGGATTCATGGATAATCCACCAATTCACTTGATACCAATCCATGAATCCACTAATCCATTTGATCCCTGGATCCACCAATCCAATCCACCAATCCATAGATCAATTCATTTGCCACCTATAGTATCGTTGATGACACGCTGCCAGTGCCCACTTCTATCTCGCAGACAAGGTTTCCAAAAATGCCACAAATTTGCTATCGAATCTTGAAAGGAAAGATATCGCCTCTCTATTACCAACCATTTGGGGGTGTTTTTGTTTATGATAAATCAGTTGAACAGGACAGGATGTAATTTTCCAGGTAGTTTACTTTGCTTGTCAATTTTTGATAACGTCGGTACCTTGTTAGAGAAGGCGTCCCCCGGCCTTCCGAAACCATCACTGTCGAAGACTACACAAACATCTATCTACCACGAAAACCCAATAAAGAAAGACTTCCCGCGGTCGTCATTTCATTTAATTTGGTTCGATTTTCGGGACAATTAGTCTTTGGAATTTCAAAATTACTACTGAAAATTGTGGAAGGTAATGTTGAATCATGCTAGTCTTTGATTTGAGTAATCACTGGCTACTAAATTCTACGCCCTTCATTATCTCTATTTCATTCTAATTTTAATTTGACGGTGAAGATTAGATTAAGGGTAATTTTGACTTTTGAGAATACAAAAATACCACACTTGATGTTTATCTTTTAAAAATTTAATTTCTGTATATTATATATCTAAACCCTAGGGGTGAACAAACACACCCGCAAACCGACCCACCCGTCCAACCCGACCCAACCCACCCGTATTTATCGCTAAAACGAAAGTTTTGGGTTGGGTGAGGGTTTTCTTTTGTACAACCCGCCTCCTTTGGGTTGGGTTTGGATTTTGGATTACACAACCCGTAGAACCCGACCCAACCTGTGTTCCACTATTAGTATGAGTTCGGATCTAAAAAATATTTATGTCGTATATAGTCATATACTTATGAGAAAATTAAGATATTTCGGCATGTTTTTCTCTCATGGTCTCCCTAATCTAATGCATTCTTCGACTTAAAGTTTAGACATAAATTGAATATAGTTATGATTCACGTAATCCTTTTTCTTGTGTACAATTTTAATAGAATAACATATTATGGGTGCGTTTGTTTATAACATTTTTAGCATATTTCAACAAATATTGTGAAAAAAACAAGACATATGTTGAAGTAGATCACATTTTATTAAAATTCAAACAACATTTGTGAATTTTGATACCTTTCACCTCGGATCATTCGTTTGAAATTTTAATTAGTTATAAAATATTTTTATGATATAGAATAATTATATATTTTATGTTGGGTTGGGTTTTTACTTTAAAATATCGCCAACCCGACCCTACCCAATTAGAAACAAACCGTAGGGTTTAAATTTTTTTGGGTGGGTTTGAGTTTGATATTTCCCAAACCGTAATGCATGGGTCGGGTAATTAAAATGACTAAACCCGAACCACCCGACCCATGTACACCCCAGTAAACCCTACTCCAACCCATTCTCTATCGCCGTCAACACCTCTCCTGTTGGTGGTTCCCTTCCTCCGCTGGCGGCCATCCTCGCAAAGCCGGTCACCCTCGGCCAACCTCCCACTGTCGGCTACCCTCGTCCACCGTTGCGGGCACCCTCTCTCTCTCTCTCTCTCTCTCTCTCTCTCTCTCTCTCGGAGACAGTTGTGGCTGAAAAAAGTGGGATGAATAAAAATCCTAGACCTGATTTTTTCGTAGTGGTAGTGTTTTTTCCGCACTGGTAGTGACTTTTTCGTAGCGGTAGTGTTTTTTCCGCATTTGTAGTGATTTTTTCGTAGGGATAGTGTTTTTTCCGCATTGGTAGTGATTTTTTCGTAATGGTAGTGTTTTTTCGCATTGGTATTGTTTTTGCCGCATTGGTATTGATTATCATGTAAGTGTATTGCTTTTTAGTAAAATGGTAGTTTTATTTTTCTGTAGTGGTAGTGTTTTTCACATTGGTATTATTTTCTCCTTTTTTTTTTGCATTGGTATTGTTATCATGTAATGGTATTGATTTGCATGTATTGATATTGATAAATATGCAAAGGTATTGGTGTTTTGTGAAATGATAGTGTTTTTTTTTTCTCGAATGATATTGATGTTTTGTGCATTGGTAGTGTTCTTTTAATGGATTGGTATTGTTTTATTGTTGCAGCGGTATTACTTCGGTTGAATGAAAACAAGGAAAAGATTGGGAAAAAAAAGAAAGAAAAATATGGCTGCAGAATGATGACAAGGTGAAGTATGACCAAATTTTGCTAAGTGTTTGATCACCCTCTCCTAGTGCGATTAGCGTGGGTAATCAGCATACATTGGGGTAAAATTTGGCCAACTTTGTGGCAGAGTATACCATCCTAGCATATGAAATATGTCCAAATTTGGCTAAGTGTTTGAGCACACCTCCTAGTGTGGTTGGGGAACAATCAGCATACCCCTAGTGTGGCGAGGTAGTGTAAAATTTGACTAACTTTGGAGAATGATGGCAAAGTAAACTATGTTCAAATTTGTCTAAGTGTTGTGTGTGATTGGAGGTATCAGCATATCACCCCCCCCCCTGTGATGACGTGGGGTAAAATTTGGCCAAGTTTGGAGAACGATGATATGATGAATTATGGCCAAGGGTTTGAACACCCCTCCTTATACTATTAGAGTGGGGTAATCAGTAATTAAGTATACCTCCTTAGTGTGATAAAGTGGGGTAAAATTTGGCCAAGTTTAAAAGAATGCGGCGATGAGGCCCCTTATGCAATTAGGGGGAGGGTAGTTAGCATACGCCCTAGTGTGATTAGGTGGGGTGGAAATTGGCTAAGTATATGGAGAGGAAGGTGATAGCGTGGGGATTGGCATACCCCCTAGGTTGACTAGGGGGATGACATCAAGTGGCAAGAGGGTAACATATGTCGCTCTTATGGTCATAAGTAGTGAATTATTTTCTATTTTCGACTCATGTGATTTGAATACCCACCCACGTGTAACAAGAAGGGTTCTCATGCCTTGATCGTTTTCTCATTCAAAAACCAAAGCTAAGGAGGAGCTATCAAGAAGAGGGGGTCAAGACTGAAGAGGGTAACCGTCACTCCTGCTAGTTGAGCAGTTTCTCGAGGCAGTTACTTCTGATGGCTATAAATAGGAGGTGAAAATGACAAAGCAGGGGTTCGAAAAATTCACACTAGACAACCTATTGTCAACCTTTATCTTTTTCTCTTTTCCAACACAAATGTAGACATAGTCATAGTGGTAGTTTTGGAGCTCTCACGGAACCTCCATAGAAGTAGAGTTAATTTAATTTTGTTTTGTTTCATAGATCATAAAAAAATATCGAACACCCTTGTTTCAACTTTGTTCAAAGATGTGTGAATCATGTTTATAATAATCAATTGATAAGAAGTCAAAGATCCAATCAATTCCATTTCAACACAAATTTTCTCGCAAGAAAACAAGTATCATGCATCAGTTTTCCTCCCATCTTTCTCTGCGATCAGCGTGCAATCAAACACCTACTACAAACCAAACTTGAGAAAAAAAGTAACACATTCATAAGCTGCTACTTAGTACTTTCTAGTTTGTGTAGTTTGATACAATTTTCCTTCTTTCCCAATTGAAACTCAGGAACAATTCATACATAACTCACAAGAGATGAGCAGAGCAGCCAAAAAGATAACCATAACCCCCCACCACCATAGCATATCACAACAAACTTCCCAAATGGACTTGACATCTCTAACAAAAACAAAATATGCCAATCCCCCCCAAAGCCCAAAAATGGCTTTTATTTCCCATCTAAAAAGTTACAAGCTTTTGTGGGTTAACACACTGATCATCTATATAGCATGAATCTCAATTGCATCATCACCCAAGTCCATTTCATCCCTGCCACTACTGCTCCACCTCGGGTCAACCGGTGGCATCAGATCAGACTCGGCAGCCATTTTAACCTTCCTCTTGTATTCATCAAGCTCAGCTTGAACCTCACACAGTGTAGACATCAGCTCTTCTTTCTGCATCTCCCACTTCTCTCTGTCGTTCTCGTGGTCCTGTTGTGCTTTCATGAACATTCGTTGCAGTCTCGTGCACTCGTGGCGGATTAAGTTCAGCTCGTCGGCGTGTCTGTCGCCTGTTAGAGATGGCTCGTCGCACCACCGGAAGAAGTCGCATTGCTACCACCAATCATGTCACAGAACCCAAAAAAAAAAAACAACCCAACAATCAAAATCAATATTCGAGACTAAAACGAACAGAGTGGTCGAATGATTGCGTTACATCGTATCTCCTGGGACAGTTGTAGAACAATCGGAATGGATTCCTGGCGCTCTGCGACATACGCAGCTTGGCGGGCAACCCACAAGCGCATTGTAAACCGGAATCATCGTAACCAGAATCCGAACCATGAGACGAGCTTGCGTCGGATCCATCATAGTCTGTCATGTTCTCAAAAATCGTCCTGCAGATTATGCAATCACACGAATAGGTTAGTTCTGCAATGTGGTTTCATCTCAGTGCTGTTATTCAGACAATGTTGTAGACTAATGCACACAGACAATGTTGTTAAGTAGGAAGACTAGTGAGCAGAAAACAGAGCCAGAGATCAGAAAGAATAAAGTACACAACCACTGTAAAATAACGCAGCACATTAGACCCTATGTTATGATACAAATTCGAGTTGTACCATACCATAAAAGAGATTTTACAAAAGAGTATAGGTACAACGTTAAGTTATACCATAACGGCCAAAACTGAAGCACCAGTACTTTAAAGCATTGTAAAATTCCTCCTCCTCTCACTAATCTGAAACTCTACAAGAGCCTCAATATATTGTGGTTTCGGTAACTCTGCAACAATGGGTATTGATTGAAGATGGAGGAAATTTAAGGGAAAAGCTGGAATGGTACCACTAAGTTGCATTTCGACAAAATGTCGAAAATCAACTCAAACAAAAGGAATCTGACACTGTTTTTTTTTTTTTTTTTTTTTTTGTGGAATCGGAATGTACAAAAACATACCTCATGATTTTTCCATAAAACATCCTTCGTCTAACTCGACTCCAGAAACTCCAAATCCAATAGACACCCATGTTTATATCCCGCCTTAATAAACGCCTACAGAGCGCTACTGATGGTGACTGTTCCACATAAACACACACAAAAAAATGTTTTGAAAGATTATCAGTGGAACAGTTTGTTAAATGACCAAGCGAATGGGTAGGAGACAACTGGAAAGGATACCATCCAACGTGAGTACTTGGGTATAGTTTTTTTTTTAGCCTAATTAAACTATTTCTCAACTAAGGTGTTGCTAAAAAAAAAATATACCTAAAAAAATATACGCACATTGCATAACTAAATCCTCGAGGTTCCTCATCTGCTAGCTTTATCATTATCTATCACCGCAAATTGGAAAAGTAAGAAACTTAATCGCACGCTTATTTATCAAACACAAGTCTCGATGGAGAAACAAATTTCATACAAATATAGATAATTTTAACTCGTTAATGTCAGACATGAAACCTCCGTAGACAATCAAACATCACAAAATTTCAAGATAATGAAATTAGAAATGGTTTCTAGCAAATATTTTACATGCATTCCTAATATATTGCGTAAATTCTCCAAAAAATTAATAAAATAAAATAAAAGGAGGTAAAGAAGGAAAAGCTTACCAGGGATCAAACTTAAGGCGGAAGAAGAGGAAGAAAGAGAGACCCAAAATAAGGGAGAAGGAAAAAGGGTGGGAGTGAGCTTGTTCGATGATTTTACAGGGGAAATTGATATTGAGGGGTTTTTGAAGTAATGCGGCATACAAGGTCTCCATCAAAATCAAAAGGAAGAATGAAGAATATAAATAGGGGGAAGATTTTTTATCCTCTTGTTTCTTTATGGGAGGAAAATTATCATTTTTCGTGATTGGTTTCCTTCCTGGGTATGGTTGCTCTCCCGCGGCGTTTCTTCGCCTGCTGGGACCCCAACCAGACTAGGGAAAAAGGATAAATCACCAATGAACGAACACAGACAACAACAACGAAAAATTTTGATTGAAAAACAACCAAGGAGGAGGAGGAGGAGGAGAGAGAGGGGAAGGAATGAAGGAGGAAAGGTCGGGGTTGGAGGTTGGAGGAGGTGAGCGGAATGGAGGACGAACACACCACCCCCTCTGACTCCCCCAGACCACGACCCTTTTCTCGTTGTGGAAAGGAACAAAATGATTCCAGTTTGTTTTTATGACAGCCAATCCATCATCTTCGGGTTCGGTTGTGTTTTCCTTTTCTCTCTTTTTATTTTTGATTTATGTATAGGTGGATTTCTGGATTTCATTTTAGTCTTGCTATTTGACGCTCTAAAATGACACCCTAACTTAGACAAAAAAAAAATTGTACTATGTATATCTTTCTTTTTTTTAATTAGTCAAAACATTTTCTTTACTGAAGTGGCACCTTGATCGATTACTTCACCATATTGGTATGGAGCAGGAGATATACCTCATGCTAGGACTGCAAATGAGTCGAGTCAAGCCGAATTTTGCTAAGTTTGAGTTCGACTTGTTTCTTAATGAGCCGAGCTTGGCTCATTGAGGAGCTCATGAGCTCTACTCAAGCTCAGCTCATCAATCAGCTCACGAACTCGGCTCATTTATATGTCTAAATGGTTGAAGCTTTAAATTAAACTCTAAAATAATTTATAACTTGACTGCCTAATATTTGTATGTCATACTCATATATGATACATTCGGTCAATGAAAAGAGAATAATAGTAAGATTTTATCGCTAATTGATCTCGTGTTTATATACTATGTTGTTATAATATTATTTAGTTCATAGTTTTTAACAAATTCATATTATGCTATTTATTAATATTTAGTAAGTAACATTCTGTAATACATAATTGCTCTGTCATATTTATATGACACACCCAAAGTCTCAAACCATAATATATTATAGATTATATAATCTAACAAACGTATGAATTATTAAGAAGCCATATCATAAGTTATATATATTGATTCGCTCATAAGTCACTAGTAGATTAGGTCGCTAACCTTATTATCAAGCCAACTCATTAGTTGAACTCAACGAGCAACTGAGTCGAGCTAGATCGCGAGCCTCATGAGCCGAACAAGGATGAGCTCAGGCTTTACTCGTTTACTAAAGAGCTTTTTCCGAGTCGAGTGTCGAGCCGCATTTTCAGCCCTACTCATGCACCATCGAGCGCAAGCGAGGTGCAGTGATTGTTTCGTCAATCATCATGTGGGGCGTAGTGTACTGGTACCAAGCTACGCCTTGTAAGCTAAGAGTCGACCGTTTTTTTTTTATAAGGATGATATAGGTTTACTTTTTGTAGCTTAGATAATATTTAAGAATTGGAACCCGGGACCTCCAGGTTCAAGATTAGTGGTATTATCACTAGACCAAGCCCTTATTTGTGAGTCCACCGCTTTTTAGAATAATCCAAATTCACTATGTTGTGACTTTGCCACTATATGATAAGTTTTTAGCGTATTGAGTACATGGAGTGGTACCGTAATTTCACACGATGTTTCATTACGTGACAGGTTGCTTCCTCCAACCTTTGGGTTCTCCAAGTGGTGTGAACCTTGTTCCGAAACACACCATTGTCGTTTCTAGTTTGTAGACGTCATTCACAAACCTGTATGGGTTGGGCCCCACTACGTTGTAAGCAAAGATTGTAATATTATTCAACATAATTCATTATAAAGTCTAACATTCAAAGAATAATTTACTCAAAATTCCAAATGAACAAAATCCACAACCAATCCATCATATTTCAAATCCCGATATTTGACACAAATCTTCTATCTTTTCAAATCTTTGATCCAAACGAACCATAGGAACACCAAGTAATGGAAGCATCTAAGGCAGTCACCAAAAGATACGTCGAATAATGAATCTCTTGCACCCGTAACATGGCAATGATCAAAGGCTGGCAACTAGCCTGGTTACTTTTTATTGAACGAATCCAAAGCAAGAATAATGAAGCACCATAATACTTGCACTTGAGAAAGAACAGCAGTAGCGACAACCATAACACATTATGGTTACCTCGTCCCATCTCACCTTCAATATTCATTTGAGATCTCCCCTGTAGCAATATTTTGATGTGGTTGCCGATGAATCTGAGTTCTAATAATCAAAATCTCCTCCTTGTTCTTCTCTTGTGATTGTCCAGAAGTTTGAGCAACGACGGAAGTGGCCGAGGCACAGGCACGTTCATGGACCTGTAGTACCTCTTCAAGTTTTCACCCAAGTTGTTCGAGGATCCACTAGCAGCACCAGAAGAAGAAACCTTAGACCCATCTTTCTCTGATAGTTCTTCTCCACAGACACTACTATGCTCCACTTGTTGTTTCACTTTTACCTTATCACTTTCCTCTTCACGGGCTATTTCAACCTTGAGCTCCCTGCCTATCTTGTCTGAAACCAACTGTCCACATTTCTCAAAGGAATCTTCAATCCTAAGTCTAGCTCTGCCAAATAAAGTAACCGTTTGCCCTTCGTATAGGGGCAAAGTACAGGGCAGCTTGGAGAAAGATCCGTTCTTCGATTTCGTAGGAGATTCTCCTCCCACCATTTCAGCAGGCACCCGCTCAACCACAGGAGAATTATTGCCGGTACATTGTGTCGATACATCATCATCATCCACACGAATGTCGAGAAGCTTCCATAGAGGGTCGCCTGGAGTTAATCTGCTGGCGAGGCAATGCTTTTTCACATAATCCAACTCCATAGCTGAACAACTGGGAGTGGTGGTTGATGCAACCCATCTTGGTGCAAGAAGTTGAAGAGCCCACTCCAGTTCTTCCCTGGACGAATGCATGGAGTAACATACATGCCAAACACCAAATAGGTCTTTTACAGCTGTATCAAAGCTCAATTTTCCTTCACTGCCAGTACATGAATACTCTTCATCACATGCGTACCACTGTGCTGAAGCACGGACGATAAGGGGCTCAGGCTTGGAATTTGCTTTGGCCTCAGCAAGCTTCGCTGCTGCACGTTTGTACAGGTTGGGGAACCCATCAAACACGTGGAAACGAGAAGATTCGTCTTGGGTAAGGATCTCAGGCACTGTAAGATTCAAAGCTCCAAACAGCTCAGGGTTGGCAACTTTATCCACAAATATCTTGGAACCAAATGCCTGGGACACACTGACCATTATATCCTCCTGACCAAGAAGGTCACATGTCAGGTACACTACAGTTGCAGCAGGGTGCTTCCATATACAGTTAATCACCTGTTTTTCCATAACGAAAAAGTCCAACTTTATCCAAGATAAATGCAACCCAGAACTTCTATACATGTACAGAAACTACAAGTAGCCCTGCTGCTGAATGATGAACACGAGAAAGGTAGGAAGCAATGTTGGTGTACCTGCTGAATTGACGAACGCTTGCATGGAAGTGGCTGGCGGAACTTGCCAAATGTGCAATCCAAGAAAACATAATCAAGGCGGTGAGTAGGTTGTATCCCTTTCTTGCTGATGTACTTTTCAGGTAAACAATATAAACACTCAGGGGTAAGCCTACAGTCTCCTGTGTGTAAGATGCTTCCGAAGTTGCCTTCAAATAAGAACATCACAGCTCCTGAAAGTCATACCAATCAAGGTCACCTATGTCAATGAAGCTAGAAATGTATGCCATGATTACACGTTCAAAACTAGAATAAGATGCTGCTTAAAATGTATGCCAAACCCCAAAAATTCCCCAAAGTGGCAGGTTCAACATGAACAAATTCACTAATACACAATATCAGATCATCGAGAAAAGTTAACTCTAAACCCTATTGCCAAATCATGTAACCAAAAAATTAGACCGAGTTACCTGGACAGTGATTGGCATCGAAAGCTGTAACCGTGAATTCACAATCTGGGTCATCGATAAAAATTGATTGCCCCACTTCAATTCTCAGAAACAACGACTCGTCAAGCTGAACACATAAACAAAAAGTGGATGAAACAGCACAGCATAGAAACCAGAATCCCACAAAGCATAGAGCAACTGAGCAAGCTGTTAAATACAAAACAAAAATTCTCAGAAAAAAGGAGAGGAAAACCCTACCTGAGGGTATTGGTTGAGGAGAAGCGATTTCGTGAGACCGGTGCAGTAAATCGGGAAAGATGAGTGGGTCAAGATTCCCGAGGAATGATCCTTGTGGGCGTGAGTCAAGAAATGGTGCCGTTTCATCTGGGATCTCACACTCCACGTGTCCACCGAGAACGGCAGCCCTCTCGGCATTTCTATCGGCATCTCTAACCCTAATTTTCTCAGCCTCCGCCAAGCTCAGCCGGACTCCGGCAAAGAATCGCCGAGCAAAATGGAAGGGGAAACGGGAGACAAAGAAGCATGGAATTGGAAGGGGGGATTTTGAATTTTGAATTCCCAATTTTAAGGAAAAGAAAATCTCCATGCCTCAAAGCTTCCCGCGGAAGAAAGCGAGGGAAAATGTCAAATAGAATTTTACTGAAACTTTTTAAACTTCGCACCTCTGTGAGATATTGGGCCGGCCCACAAATGAAAAAGATACGGTCCAGTACGTCCTGTTTGGACTCAGACCTAGAAGCCCATCGCTCGTTCGATTCACTCCGCTGCAAAGGAAATCGACGACGGGAATTGGAAATCAGCACAGGAAGGCGGCTACCGGAAAGTGAGATGCGGAAGGCGCTGAGAATCTACGGCGAGGTGCTCAGGCTGGTGAGGCGGCTGCCTAAGGATACAAGGCCGTACTACGCCAAATACGCCCGTGAAAACTTCGTCAACTACCGAGAACTGGACGCCAATGACGACACGTCGCCCGATGAGCTCTTCCATCGAGCCTACAACCACTCCCTCTGGGTTCTCAACAAGGTGGTCCCTTTCTTCCATCTTTTCCCGTAGCTTTGGTTCGCGCTTCAGTTTGTTGATTATGGATCGTTGTGCAAAATCGCAGTACTCGGTGGAGGAGTCGGCAGCTAACAAGTTGAAGGAGATTTGTTCCGGGTGAAAGCAGAATTGAATTGGCCCCGTGCGCGCCAGGTGTTTGTTGTTATGCCAGAACGAGTATGCTACTATGTTTCCTTTCTTTCTTTCATTTTTTTCTTCTGTATTTTGCTCCTTCAACCCATTTGGGTATTTGGATTCGGAGTTGATTTTGGGAGCTGGATCATAAAAGGCCGTAGATGTGGGGAGTAATGGTGTTCTCTGTTGGTTCATAAGCTAGAGCAGAGCCTTAATTCTTCTACCTTCATTTGAGAATGGTATCTATCTGCTCCTGGGAGGTGAATTAAAACATGAAGGAGCTTGTACGCCTTCATTTGAGATAATGAGATTTCCAAGCCAAACATTTTTTTATCAGTCAGTCTTCTTTTGAAAGACTGGAAATAGGATACTACTCTTTGTTGTGGTTTGACAATTGTTTCTCGAATTCGTCAATACAGCAATAGTGATTGGTGAGGGGGAGAATTGTAGGGCTGGCTATTTGGGTTTATCCGAAACCAGACCGTATAATTTGGATTGGAATCGGATCGGATCCAGATAACAAATAATCCAATTTTTGGATTTAGATTTGAGGTAAAAAAACTCATTTGGAACCGAATCGAAATCCGAATAAGAGAGCCCAACGCCCAAAATTAAACAAACTCTCTCACCCTTTGAATCCTCACGCCACTCAAACGTACAAAACTGATTCTTGCAGCAGTGGAACGAGCTTCCGGCTAATGAAATTCACCTGCCATGGCTACAGTCTTCGTTTCCACTCTCGATGCATGAGCTGGACGGAGGAGGGCGGGAACAGGCGGCGGAAGGCAGTGGCAGTGTGGGAAGTTGAAACCCAACGCACGCAGGCGGTGCAAATGTCGGGAACAGCGTTTTTTTTTTTTTACTTTGACCGACAATCTTCACTACTTCCCGTCTTCCAATTCGAGGAGCAGCTCTTCTCCCCGCGCTTCTCTTCGATTTTCTCTAAACCTCGCCTAACTAGCTTAATTAGTAATTAGTGTGTCCTGTTCCAGAATCCAGTTTGGTTTTATTGTTGTGGTCTAAAGATAATATTGTGATAGAATATAAGGTATAGGCTATGTATGTTGTAATTTCAAACTTTAAATAAAATGGACTTGCATGAAGTTTTTATAAATCATTTGGATAATGCCAGGCTGGCAGTTAAGGAAACAGGAGTTTTTGACATTCCCTTTTTTTCCCAAACAACGTTAATGTGGTACTTGTTAGTGCATAATATATACAAAATTATAGTATCCAATTTAATCCACATAGTTGGACGGTCAAAAGAGACCCCGATTCGAGTAACCTTGCTCATATTCTCTCTCATTTTTCCTCAATTGTCATTGTCGTCGTCCTCCTCCTCTCAGTTCTTTCCCCTTCTCCTCTGTTTGTAGCTTCTGGGTTCATCCCAACCGTCCATCAAATTTTGTCCTCGAGTGAAGTGTTGGATGAAGTTTCCTTCCCCGTCGAGCCATGGAGGCGAAGTTGAGGAGACAAACAGCTTCAAGAGGGTTTTGTAGTCAGACAAGCAGACTTGTGGTTGTTGCTTCGATCTTCGTATCTGTGAAACAATGTTGCTGTCGAGGAAGAGCTTCTTGATCACTAGCATTGTGAGATTAGCAAAAATGATCTCTAGATCTGCAACCGTCGTTCAAAGAAACGCTTCAACCTAATCTGTCGTCGTCGTTTCTTTGTCTCCCTTATCCCGACCCTCATTGTCGCTTCCAATCTCTTCATCTCTGTTTGCTCGGTGGCGGGTGGTGGGACGAGGAGAGCAAGGAAGGAGAGGATACCCTCCCGAATTCGATTTGATCGAGTAGGGTAGAGTAAAACCCAAACTAAATAAAACAACTGGTGTTATGGGTAAAATCCAATCCAAACCCACAAGATTATACATGCATATACTATGTTGTGTATAAATCATCATTTTTTCTTTCAATATACTTGTCATTCCTAGTATATTTGTAGCATATAATGAACTAGTATTTCTTTTTTATATTTCTCTTACTATTTGTAATTTTTGTTTATGTAATGTAAATGTACTTCATATTAGAACAAAAGAATAATTATTATCCGTGGATATCCATGTATACTCGAAATCTTATCAGATATGGGTATGGTTTTAATTTACTACTTAAATTATGCATGGGTATAAATAAAACTCGAATTGGTTAGGGTAGGAGTAATAGATCGCCACTATCCGCCCACAATCCGAGTCATTGCCATCCCGAAAGGAGAAGGAGGAGGAAAAAACTAATTCATGAAAAAAAAATATTTTTCAATATAAATATAATGTGGCCGTCGCGTGGTGTGTAGGGGATAGTGTGAGAGCTGAGGTGACATTCACATCAATACCTCGTTAACATTATTGGTGCTAATCTTTTAAAGCAAATGACTAAATTTGTCAGCTATTTACAAATTTTTAGGCTATTTTAGTGTAGTTTTTAAAAATGGACTATTATTATAAAAAAAAATGCAAAGCTATGACTATTGATAATTTGATAAGCATTTTGTCAAAAAAAAATGTCGGAGCGTAGAAGTAAATCAAGAAGCAACGCAACAATAGGATTAGCAACGGGCGAGGCGGTCAATATTCGTTACCTTACCCAAAATATAAATAGACTGGATTTTACACATACCCCATACTCATAAAAAGAATCATGTAGAATATCAAAGCAGTACCTATACCCAATCAGATTTCGGTTATCCACGATTATTTGTAGGCTATAAATTTTCTTTTTAACTTCAACCAATATGTTATCAATTAGGTTACATACGTGACAAATTACATCCCTACTACTCACTCGGCATTGAATGAGTGAAGCAGGGTTTTGTTTTCTCGGGCCAGGTGGTGGTGGTGGTTTGACTGGCACCTGACCTCACCAGCTGACTGCTCACCTGAACAAGAAAGCCAAACAAAGAAAGGAGTGTAACCAGAGACCAGACGGCAACAGTGGAAAAACGCCACCCGCCTGACCCGAACCCCAACCTTCTTCCCCTCTCTCTCTCTCTCTCTGCCTCGAAAATCTCTATCTGGAAACGGAAGCGGAAGAAGAAGACCTCCCTCGCAACTCCCAACTTCATTTCCTTTCTTCTGCACACTAGTTTAGCAGTCCTCTCCTCCATCCGCCTTTCTCTCTCTCTCTCTCTCTGGTCTCTGTTGTGGTAAGGAGTTAACCACTACTACTATTGCTTCTTTAACCGCATGTATAAATGATGACCGATGACGAGCAGCAGACCACCGCCATGACTCCTTCCTCTGTTCACTGCCATCATCCTCACAACCATCGGATGGTCAAGGCCGAAGCAGCAGCAGCAGATCAACAAGACGATGACGAAGACGACAGTGGCGATTATCTGTTAGGGGGACCGAACCCGACCACATTCTCCCAACTCCTCTGCTCCAGCGACGACGATCCTCCTCGTCACATGATCATTGACGCCGCGCATGTCCATCCTCCCCACTCTGCTCCTCCTCCTCCTTCGATGCTCTGCTTTGGCGCCCCTGCCGCTACCACCCAATGCTGCTCCCACCTCGAGGACGGCGGTGCTCTGTTCTCGCCGCCGCGTCATCATCATTATCAAGACAACAATCATGACGACGATCTTCTTCTTCCAAACACCGCCCCCGCGGCCGCCACTGCAAATCCTCCGCCAGCGAGGAAGAGGGCAAGCAAGAAGAGTAAAACAGCACTGGTAAACAACCGTGGCACCACTGCTACCGCCGCTGTACCCGCCTCTCCTCCTCGTGTTCCTAAGGTGTGTTAGGTTAAATAATAATTAATAAATAATGAGATGATGATGACGATGACGATGGAACTGTGTTTTGAGTGTACTGTAATGTTACTGTAGGCAAGGAAGGAGAAGGTGGGAGAAAGGATTGCGACATTGCAGCAGCTGGTTTCCCCCTTTGGAAAGGTCTTTTCTTTTCCACTTGCAAGAACAAGAAAGCTAGTTACTTTTCTGTTTCTTTTGCTTTGGGATTCAATCAACCACATTATTTTCCTTTCTGTTGGTTTTTTTTTTTTACAAATAATAAATTGAAATTGGAGTGGGAAAGTGCAGACGGATACGGCATCGGTACTGCACGAAGCGATGGGATACATCAGGTTCCTGCAAGATCAGATTCAGGTCCTCTGCTCGCCTTACCTCCTCCTCCTCCAAGAAACCCCAGCTGTAAGTACCAAAATAACCCCCCAATCGCCATTAACACACCCTTTTGATCTCTAATCTAATCTAGACGTTGGCCGCGTTTGTGTCCCGATTTGCAGCAGCAGCAGGGGAAGAGGGAGCTGAAGAGCAGAGGGCTGTGCCTGGTTCCCGTGGACTGGACCATGCATGTCGCCAACGGCGCCGATCTTTGGTCCCCTCTCTCCACCACCACGACGGCTCCCACTCCCGCGTTTCCGTGCTTTCCACCACTGCCAGCCTCGTCGGCCGACCAGTAATTGGATTTGGATGAATGTCTCGGTTCTTTTGTAACCTTTTTTTCCTAGCTAGTTAAAAGCCAGGAGGGTAGTTAGAGGAAAGACGGGGGACCCACTGAGAAAAGGGGAAAATTGTATGTATTTTTTTTTTTTTCCCTCGCTGGTGGTCAAAGGGTGCTGTTTCTTTCTTTCTTTCTAAAATAGTGAATTTTCCCGACGGTAATTAATGGGGGGCATCAGAATTTAAGCATGTTTTACAATTGTACAATCTTCTATGGGTTTCACCGGTTACCGATGCAACTTTGAGAATGCGGAAAATGGGGGTGATGGTCGGGGGACTGGTCCGGATTTTGTATGTACACAAATAAATAATTAAATTAAATAATTCCAAATTATAATCACCTTTTAAACCAATTTCTCAAACTAGTCACCGAGAAGAGTTTTTTGGACGATCACACTAGTTTCTTAACTCATTTGAGCTATATTCAAATTTCAAAACAGTCATGAATTTTTTTTTTCTCCCCCTTTCGTACAACACCCCCTCGAACTTCAATAAAATAATACTTCAAAGTAGTTTTAGGTTATGATACCAACCGTTGTGAGTCTCATCCTAACCAGAAACTACTTAGTGACCTTTTATGAAATAAAGGAATTATTAAGCTCTCGTCGAATTTTATTCAACCTCTCAAATTCAGCGGTAATTCGAGAGCTGGCAGCAAATCTCAAAGTGGATTTACTCTGGAAGATTAGGTCTTCAAATTCACTCTTTCAAAGAGTACGTCCTTCCAAATATTTGGATTTTTTTTTTGTCTATCCTACTAATTAAGGAGGACAAACGATCTACTACATTCTTTAAAATCATATTAAGATGATTATTACCATCTACCAATACCATGTTCTATATGAAAACAATCGGGATACTGACTATCTTTACTCATCTGTATTGACTACAATTATTTATGCCGAGTCTTCGAGACTTTCTCCATCTTATACTACTCCTAATGGGTTGTTTGGAGTTGTCAAGAACTGTTTAGTATCAATAACTCGATATGTTGGGAAAGTTTATTAATGGATCTTATACTATTTACTAGCACGCCCCTCCAAAATAAATTCAATTTATATGGACTTGAAGTTTGCACAAATCTGAATATCGTAGGCTTGCAGATGGGGTCGCCAAAATTCGTGCACAAGACTCTCGCTCAACCATTTTCAATTACACACGCTAATGCATTGAATTTGGTTTGAGGTTTGCCTTTTTCGTTTTTGTCAATTATATTTGGGATTATGTTTGAATTTTTGTTTTTAAATTTTGTTTTTACGTTCAGGAAAATTGCTGATTTTCTGTCTGGATTAAGAGAAGAGTTCTATAAATGCTCTTCTTTATTATCGTATCTGTAGTCAGGTCAATTTGTTTGGTTATTCTGTTCCGAATTTTGTTTTGTAACCTGTAAATTCCTCAAGGGGTTGTTTGCATGATGGATTTGAATCAACCAAAAACTTTGTCTAAACTTCGGGGTTGTTTGGAAGTTGTGATTCTTCAAATTGATGTATTGAGACAATTAGTGTATTATCATTTGATGTATTGAATCAATTGATATATTATGCAAATATCTTGTCTGGAGGTTTAGAATGTATTTTTGTTGCAAAGCTACAAAAGTTAATTTTGAGTGATTGTGAATAATCTAAACAAAAAGTATAGATTGATAATTTCTCGATTTTGAGTGATTGTGGTGGAGCCTCCAAAAAGTAAATGCATGTAATATAGTTCAATATAAGCCAAAAAATGACTTAATCTCACAAATACATGAATTAGCTCAATACACCATTTAAATTCACAACTTCCAAACGACCTCTCCATTGTTTGCTTCATGGATTTAGGGGCAACAAATCCGTGGACCCAACAGACATTAAGGCTTGTTTGCTTCATTGATTTGAAAAATGAAGGTTTTGGTTAAATTTTGGGCTTTATAAAACCAATGATTTGTGATGGAATTGGTCCATTATGAATTTGGACCAAAACCTTGTTTGCTTGTTGGATTTCATGATGGATTTTGCTGAAATATATTTGTGGGTATGAGATACCATTGACCTTGTTGCCCTTGTTTAGAATAATTTGTATATTATTGTTTCCTTGTAAACAAAGCCGTTTAGAATTTCTTCGTACCTCTCCAAGATTTTAAGAGCTCAATGCTATCATATATGCCAACAAATATGAAATCAATAGAAGATTTGAAATATTGAGCATAAACTAATCTTCGGATTTAAACAAAGTGCTTCAATCATTGTTAGTTTGTTAACCAATACCCACTTACTCCAAATAGGCAAATACAACTTACCACACATCATTAAACTAGTTGATGCACCCTACATTTATAGAATTTTCTTCATTCTTTTCCTCACAAATTAATACTTGTTAAGTTCAAGCACATTCCACCATCTTCCCCATTTTTGGATTGGAGCTGCTGGTTACAAATCCGATTGCGAGAGGGTAAAATTGCGAACAAAGAGAGCTACGCCTCCTAACTGTGGTGCCTGATAATTTTACACACAGGCCCACGCAGGAAGCAAGCAAGCTGAATGATTTACATTGTCATAGGAATTGGGCCCTCGGCTCGGTAAGCTTTGGAATTATTATTTGTTTTGAGACAAAAGCTGCGGCAAAGCTTTCGGTTTCTGTGGGCCGATTGGGCTTGGGCGTTTGGCCTTTGCTATTCAAACTGGGAAACCTCGGTGCGGGCGGAATCATTTTGTCACTGTTGTAAAGAAGAGAAACGTGTGCAACATTGCCTTATCTTCCGGTGGGAGTTAGGTAACCAGTTCGTGGAGCGGGAGCGAGAGCGAGAGCGGGAACGAGAGCGTGAGAGCGTCTATTTTAGAAGAATTCGATATTGAGAGCGTGAAGAAAGCGTCATTATTATATTATTATTTATATAAGAGACTTGATAATCATCCAAAATTATATAAAACTAGTGGCTAATTAGGTTATATAAATTTAATCGAAACTAATTAATCCAACATAGAACAGAGTTCAAGTGATGGGACGTGCACCAATTACTCTAAACTTAATAAACATTTATTTAATTATAAATTTTCCTACCTCTTTTCCTATATTCTTTATTTATTTTGCCGGTGCTGTCTCAGAGTGTCTCTTCCTCTTTTAATATAAAGATAAATGGCTAACAGAGCACCTCCGATCCTTTTCCCTTCTCGTTCAAAAGTCGGAAATCAGGGGGTTTCCGACTTTCAAATCTTAAATCAATGGCAGCGTCAAGAGAGGTCTCGTTGGTGACAAGGCAAGGCTTCATCTGAGAACCGCCGCTAGGTCCCCGACTCTCTTCGCCTCCGCCGCTAGGTCCCCGGCTTTCTCCGCCTCCGCCGCCCAGCTTCACCACCACCCCCTCCGCCGAATCCCCACCACAATCGAAAACGATAAACATTGGGCGGGATAAACATTGAGCTGAAGGGAATTCACGCTCCATTGATAGTGGATTCGCGCTCTAGCATAAATAAATTCGCGGATTTTAGGCGATTCGATTGCAGTCCGCGTTTCCGCGCTCCAAAGCGGGAGCGGCCACCCAAAAGAGACGAATTAGGTTATCTAAGGTGGGAGCACTTTGGTTGGTGGAGGTAGTGCTTATGCAAAGACCATATATAGATTAGCTCCATCAACCGCCAACTCTCCTCCAACTAATCTAATTGATTTAAATCCAATCCATTTAATCATTTTTACCAAATTATAGTTTGGTACCTGTATGTTTTTATATATCTAAAATTTATTTTTAAACAAAAAAAAAAATATTATTGGAAATTTATGTTTTGGCATATAAGGAACCATTTAAAGACTGTGGTCCCCAATACACCAAGACCATACATAGCTCCATCTTCTCCCCATCAGAAAGATGAGAGATAATCCCACAAGAGGAACCGAAGAGGCTTGGTTGAACAATACTAAAGAACCCTCGCCCGATCGTATACTAAGAGGCATTATCCGGATATTGATCGTACAACCATTTCCATGTCAAGTTTCAGACAATCAACCTAATTAATCGAATCTAAGTATTCCTATTAACCTTTGATATCTAACAAGATAGTAATTCGGGTAAATGACACATTTGGTCACTGAGATTATTAAATTGTGTCATGTTTAGTCACTAGAAAAAATTAATATCAATTTTGGTCACTCGAATTACCGAAACTGGTCAAATTTAGTCACTCTCCCGTCAGTTTCCGTCCAACTCCATTAATGTAGTTGGACGGAAACTTTTGGGAGAGTGACTAAATGTGACATGTTTCAGTAATACGAGTGACTAAATGTGACATTTTTCAATAATTCGAGTGACCGGAGTTGGACAGAGGCTTCAGAAGAGTGACCAAATGTGACCTGTGTCAGTAATTCGAGTGACCAAAATTGATATTAAATTTTTCTAGTGACTAAAATATGACACGATTTAGTAATTTCAGTGACCAAATGTGTCATTTACCCATAGTTAATTCTATCGTGAATTCTTACTCAGCACGTGGAAAAATGGCTTGACATTGGTGGATATTTTGCGTGCTCACTCTAACTAGCTTGTGATTGTATCCTCCTCCCCAACCACCCAAACCAAGACAAAGTAGTACTGTAGTAGTGCTATGCAAAAATAGAATAATAATAATAAAAAAAAGAATAAGAAACTTTTGGAAATAAAAAATAAAGATTGAAAATGACTAGTGACCTCTTGTGTGCCGTCCGATCCGTCGGACCACATAGCTTTGGCATTTGCAAATAATAATAATAATAATATAATTCGGTTACACCGTTACAGCCACTCAGTTTTTGTACAAACCAAGCAGAAAACGCAGCAAACTAACAGGGCCACATTCACCAGCCAAATTTTTTTTTTTTTTTTATAAACCCGCACTCCGAATCCCTCCCCTGCCAAAGCTTTCTAAAATCTCTTCTGCTCTCCCTCCCATTCAAACACTCTGCTCAATCAATCCTTCATTTCGTCGATTTCCTCTGTAACTCGTAAATTTAGAAGAAATTAGGAAAGCAGATCGAGGAAGGGGGGAGTATATATAGATAATATAAAATGGAAGAAGCAGGAAAGCCTCTGCTCGAGGGCGCCGACGAGAAGGGGCGGTCAGGCGAGTGCAGCAGCAGCAGCAGCTGTATTCCCGGTACCGGAGGCAGGGAATCGTCGTCGTCGTCGGCGGCGGCGGTCAACCCCGCGGTC